TTGCCAATATGGGAACAAATGGAGGCTAAAAAAAACAGGGCTCAACAGAGAATACCACTACCTGTCGCTGACATAACAGCCTGTTAGCATGTTTCCATCTATCAGATTAGTAAAAACACTGGACCTTACTCCATTTTCACACAAACGTCAAATTTCACAGTTACCTGATTAAAAAAAAGAAAGACAAGTAAAAGGACAAGCAGCTCTTCCTGTGGAAATAAACTCAGAGATCCACCATAAAATACAAGGACACCACACTGGACAGGTGTTAAATTACCAGAGGAACAGTTTGCCAAAAAAAAAAAAAAAAGTAGAGAATTGCAGCTGTAATTATCACTGGGGTGGGGGTGAAAAATAATTAACTATATTTACGCTACAGTCAGGAAGAAGATCAGTGACTGGCAAAAATAATGTTAAAATCACCCCACCTCCCCTCGAGGAATAAATCCAGTCTGCATGGAGCTGCTCACTTGCTCAGACTGCGGTGCAGCCTCGGGAACATCTGCAAGATAAGACCTGCATTTTGAGCATTTTTTTTTTTATGCAATATTTTACAAAGCTGCATGCTTGTGTACTCATATAATTGCATCTTATTGTGTCTTATTTGGATCCGAAGGGACGCATTACTCACTGTAGCAAGTGATAGATCGTATGGTTTAATGATTTATTAGTAAAAGGCAAATAAAGGGCCTACTTTTTTATTAAATGCTTTCATCTGGGCACACTAGTCATCCAAATTAACATTCACTTTATTAATAAAAAGGAAGAATTTGGAAGTTTTAAATAGTTTATGATGTTTATATTGTATTGATGGTCCTGATGTTGCATTGCTCATTTCAAACCTGTACTTGGAGATCATGCTTCTTTCTGTGGAATTCAGGTGTTTTCCTACTGGGGACAGTTCTGTCAGATTTTTGAATGTTAGAAGAGATTTTATAGCACTGTTATTGTAGTGCTGACAATATTGGTCTTGCTGTTTTCAAGTCCTGGCGGGATGTTTTTTTTTGTTTTTTTGTTTTTTTTGTCTTATTAGATTTCCAGAGAGCTGTTTTGTCGAAGAACTCAATCCTTCTGCCACCTCAGACTTGGACAGAGGTTTGGGAGAAGGGGGATTAGCAGAGTTATGTGAGGTAAACAAAATGAAATGTGATGTTTGCTCACAGAATATTTATCATACATCTCTGTCCCTGTGTTGCCATACACATTCGTCTTTCTCTCAGTCTCTCCCTCTTCCATTTGCACTCACTCACCCTGCAGAGTTTGAAGACTCTCGTCATCTAAAGATGCAACTGTCAATGTCGCAGAGTGTTAACACACACAGACGTGCACGTAGTCATGCACACGGGCCCCGAGTTAATGGGCCTATTAATGCAGAATGGCAACTCTGCATTGAGCCATATACATTCCTTTCCACCTGTCTAAACAGAGTTTTATGAGCTCTGTCATGAAGCTAGATGGGATGTTTCACAGGCTCAGGCCATTAAACACAGTCAATAGCGTGTCATGCACACAGACAAAAAAAAAAAAAACACACAGATGACAATACATAATCTGAATAGTTGCACCTGTACCTATTTTGTTTTTCTTGATGCTCCATAATAGGCTGCATAACAATAGATGCACGTACAACTGTAGGTCACCTTGGCAACAGCCATCAAGAGGTAAATGATTCTTTTGGCATTGTAAAAAAAAAAAAAGAAGAAAGAAAGAAACACACAATAACCCACACACATAAACATCTATGAGGGTACATTGAGTCCATTCATCAAGTCTCTCATGGAGGGAATGCTGATTGCTTGGACCCTGCATCGCCCCCCCCACCCTCTCAAATCATTTGCTTTTCAGCCAAGTCGCACGATCAAATCGCCAGCGAACACCACACGGGGATCTGAGCACTGACGGCAGACCGACTATTGAGACTGACTGTGAATATCAGGGGGAGAGACACAGACAAGAGTGTGTTGGTTTTGTCAGTATTTGCTCGCGTTTTCCCCGGCTTCATGTCCATACCCTAACACCTCCAACACCTTCTGTTTCTGTCCCGCACTCTGTCAAATCTGTTCCTTATTATTCGTTTTCTTAGCTGACTTTGACTCCACCTCTACCCCCACCTTCTTTCCTTTTGCCACATTTCTTTTTCAGAACACTGTACTTCCTTCCTCTTTCCCTACATCACTCCGTCTTACCTCCTTCCCCCTACAGGCATATTCTATATTTCTGTTTCTGATAATTCACTTGACACTACATGTGTGATCACACTCACAGTTTGCTTTCTACTGTACGAGACAGAGTGGGAACATGTTCTTTGCTGCATTGTGTTAATTTAGATAAGTAGGCTACATGTGAAGGAAGGCTTTCGAGCCAAAAGTCATGTGTCCTAACAAGTGGCTTGTATATTGGTGATAGTGGTTTAGAATTTAACTTTTCTGGTTCATGTGTTAAGGACAAATGAGGAAGTGGAACATAGGAACAAATAGTGTGGCTATATAACTTTTGAATTTAGCAATCATAATAAAACTATCACAAATGCATTTTTATATTGTAGTATCAATATTTATTAAGACACAGTACATTTTTCATTTGAGGAACTGTTTACATATTAAAAACAGATGAGAATGTCAATTTTTGAAAAACACAGCAAATTAAACACCTGATTAATAAAGAAAGTTAATACAAAAATAATATAAAAATCCAATATATGTGTTAAGAAGTTCTGCATGTTGATGTGCAACATTGCTCACAATGGCCTGATACATCTATAGAGTTAATCAGGATGGCTGACACTGTATAAACAAAATTTAATCTCTGATGGCATATTAATAACATCTCATGGTACACTTATACTATAGTCTAACCCTGTTTTAGTCATGATATATGGCTATATGGACTGTAATGTCAGTCTAATGGTCAGTCCACCACTCTAGACTGAAATATATCAACAATCTCTGGGTGGATTGCCATGCAATGAGGTGCAGATATATCCTTAGTGCATTATCCCCTGCCTTTCATACAGTGCCACCATGTGGTTACCATCTAAGGTTTTGAGTGAAATGTCTGAACAGTTGTTGGTTGGATTGCCATAACATTTTGGTAATCAAATTCTTCATCAGATCAAAATCTTTTTTTTTTTTTATTTTGGCTTATGCTTTAATACCTGCACTTCCCATCAGCCCCTTCTGTACTTTGTTTGTGCTAAATAGCAAAGATTCTTACAAGCTAAACAGCGAACAGACTCTTTGCTTTGTTCTAATTATCTTTTCTAGTGTTACCAAGGGGTGTTCTGACAATATTTTTCTCTTTGTTCTGCAAATCTTTGGTTTTATGCTATAGTCACTTCATAGTATATTTATAAAGTGTCTCTAGTTGTGAACTGTGTATTCAGGTTATTTCTTTCAACTGCCCTGCAGCCTGAGGGAAGAAGCTATTGTTCATCCTAGAGGTGTTTGATGCACTTACATCGCCTCCCAGAGGACAGAACAGCAAACAGTCAGTGGACAGGGTGAGAGGAGTCCCTCACAGTGCTGCTGGCTTTCTGTCAGCATCTCTCCTGAAAAATGTCCCCAACAGAGAGGAGAGGCACTCTGATGATTTTTTCTGCTGCCCTCACTGTCTTTTGCAGGGTCTTGCAATCGACTGCATTACAGTTCCAGTACCAATTGATGATTATGATGATGATGTTGGTCAGGACACTTTAAACTGACCTGGAAGAATGTAGTGAGAACTGGGAGTGGTATCCTTGCTTGCTTCAGCTTTCTTAGAAAAGACTTCTTATTTTAAGTGATGTCATCTTCAGTCTTGTCAACATTAAGAGAAAGGTTCTTGTCATCACACCAGCCTACTAGTTCTTCCACCTCTTCCCTGTAAGCCGTTTGGTCATCATCGTTGATCAGCTCCACCACAGTTGTACCATCCGCGAACTTGGCAATAATTAGGATTAGTGCTGCTTTTTACAGGTAGATGGTGTTTATATGCAACAGTAGAAGCTCCACCAAGGCAAACAAGTTGAGCAAACCACAGCAGCAAAAGTCGCCTACTGAAAGAGGCAAACTCTTTGTTGACAGGAATTCAACTTACTGTTTCTAACACCACTGAGCTGAAGTGGACTGTAATAGATGTAATTCCATTGCTTGAGTTGCTTTCCTTGGTATGTTTGATACATAAAGTGAACTTAATTACTTGTTTAATACAATCTGCTTAACTATACAGTATTATTAGCAGAGCTGTGTCAGGTGGCTTATTGATTTTACATTGTAAATCTTTTGGTTTGGTGACTAAATCCCATAGTTTAAAAGTTCCCACCAACCTGTTTGACCAAAGAGTGGTAAACTAGCCGTTCAGCTTTCATCAGTTAATAGTTAATTTGTCAGCATTTGTTTTAAGCTCCGCTACTTTAAGCTTAATGCTAACATTCACTCATTAGCATTTTATCTTCAGTATCCAGCTCCATATAAGTACAGCTGTGAGTACTCTAATGTGCTAAAATGCCCATTGGTATATTATGCATGTTGAGAACTATTTGACATCACATGTTGATGTTTAGTGTGTAACATTTACAATGTTAACTTATTGTTAGCTTTCTGATGTTAGCATTTAATGTCTAGCCATAGTTACCATACAGCTAATACTGAATATTAATTCAGTCTTTACAAAAACAATGTTTTGACAAAACAAACAAATGACTCAAAGTCTGCTTACTAGCTTTTTGTAGAGCCTTCAACTTTGATTTACGTGTCTTTTTTTTTTTTTTTTTAAATGCGTTTCAAATTTCTTTGAGGTTTGGAAAAAGCTAATATTTTATCTTGATACATTAAAAAATATACAATTGCCAGTTATTCAGTTAAATATTGCTTTACATTCATACAGTAATTTCTTGCATCCATGCAGTGCATGTAAGTTCTAATCTTTTTTGTGCATCTTTACACCTCTACATTTGTGTGTGCTCATGTGACAATGCAACAGGTCAGCAGTGACAGTGTTTCAGTAGCAGCTGCAGTCTGACTGTGCTTCCTGTGAGTTGGCAGCAGGAGTTTGCTACTTCTCCTTGTAAACCCTACGATCTCTGCACTGCGAGGACAACAACACACACGGTGAGTAACACAATGTTTCTTTCTCTTTTCAATGAGGCACAGACGGCAACAGTTTGTCATTTTGAATTATGGTTTGTTGGCCCGCTGCTTTCTGAGCTGTCAAAACGAACTTTCCTCCTACTGCACTGACAGTACCTTACCTACCAACAGAGTCCAGGTGAAGCTGGTGATAGCTTATTGATTTCTTCTGTCAAATCAATTTCTGTCATGTGTGCAAAAGAAAAATGATGAGGGGACAGGTTAAATCACTTTTTAGTGGTGTTTTTGGCCTCCAAATAACAGGAATGTGTGTTTCTGTGGGTAAGACAGACAAGAGAAAATACTTGTTACACCAGTGTTAAATGTGCTGTTTTTATAGCTTCCCAAAATGCATTACAGCCAAAACGCATGTAGACATCTTGGTTAAACCTGGGTGTGTTATGTAAGTAAAACTACAAATAGACTTTCAGTTTTGTTATTTCTAAACCCACAAATGTACACCCTCATACTTTTGTCCTCTTTCTTTTAGGTCCTTTACTATGGAGGCTGCAGCCAAGTACGACTTTGAAGCTACAGCTGATGATGAACTCAGCTTCAGAAAGGGAGAGAAATTGAAGGTAAGGAACACACACACACACACACACACACACACACACACACACACACACACACACACACACACACACACACACACACACACACACCTTGACCTTATACATAGTTCCTGCTTTGTGTTTTCAACAACCTAGTGCACACATTACATGTTATGAATAGTGCTCGATATGAAAACGCATTCAAATGCGGAGTGTGTACATAGTGCCAGCAGCGTTTTCATGTAAATCAGTGTCACAGAGTCAACTGGACATTCAGAACATTAATACAGCATAAGAAATTATTTGTATCACTGTGTAGTTGTTGCAGCTGGTTATGAAAATGTGTTACGACACTGCATCCTGCTGCTCAAATTCAAGTTTATTTCCTATTTGCAATCAGTTGCAATCTTATCTCTTCTTGACTGAAGTTTTACAAAAAGTAAAAATAAATAGCAAAGAAATAAAGAAATGTATAAGTTAAATGTTGATATACTGACCACACAAACTAAAATTAAAGCATAATGACAAGTAAACAGTGCAAACTATCTTTACTCCTGTGTAGCACAGTTGAGTTCTGTGTTTTCAAGACAGATTGACCTTGTCACCTCGAAACCCCTGAATCACAATCTTGCTCAAGACATGCTAATCTTCCTCTTAAAGTGACAGTCCAGGTTATTTGACTCGAGGTTGTGTGAGGATCTCTAGTCATTTTAATACCTGTAGTAGGTTCGGATCCGCACGCTCTTAGTTTAGAGAAGCAGCCAGGAGCAGCGGCACAGAACGCTCTGAGCGGGGACATCTGCAAAAAAAGAACATGCCTTAGCCATTTAAAAATATGCCCACGGGAAAAAAAAGCTAAAATCAGTGTAGGTGTGCGCTTTATTTAAAAAATATATATATTTTCACTTTATCTTGCAGTCAAACAGCACTTTCCTTTGGAACTACAACTTGTGAACCGCTGAACTACAATATCACTGCATACAAGCGCACCTATGGCGCAGATTGGCTGTTTTAGTCAGGCAGAGGCAGGTAGGGGCACTTGTGCAAAATGCTACGGTGGTCCAACAGTTGAGAAAATGTAGTTCCAAGGAAAGGGCTGTTGGAAGGAAAATGATTAAGTGCAAAGTTACTTTAGTCTTAATGTTTATTCCTAGTGTGAAAAAGCTCAAAGAAGTTTAATAAGCTTGCTGTTAATCCTCTATGTTGAGGGTCAGATCGGTTCATTAACCAGGAGGACCACCACCCCTATAGATCAGATAGGGAATCGTTAGCTTGACATTGTTGGATAAGTTCACTCTGCAACAACAAATGTAGACTACAGTGGTTATTTATTTTATATATTATGTCCATTTATTTGTCAGCCGATTTGTGCCGAACATGGTGGAGGGATGGCGCATGGGCCAGGGAAGAACCCATTAAATTTTGGAGCAGATCGGGGTCATTTACTACGAATTTACAGTTTTTTCCCTCAAGTCTGGTGTATGTTGTTTGACATTGGCCTTGGCAGAGGTCTGGCTCTCTGAGTGCCCTTCTACTGTATTCTTGTACTGATTTAATTTCTGTTGTACCGCCAAAAGAAAGCTGTTTAGTATATTCACCTCAATGTGACTTAATTTCATGTGAGTGTGTCTCATGTGACTGTGTCCCACTGTGTCAGATTCTGCAGACCACTGGGAACTGGTACAAAGCAGAGCTGAATGGAGCTGAGGGGTTTGTACCCAGAAACTTCATCAGCATTCACCTGCCCAGGTAAAAGCCAAAAGTCTACACATAGAGGCCAGAGAGAAAAGTACAGAGGAATAGACGGACACTCACTATTTCTAAAGTCACACAGAAGAGAGGAAGAAGTCATCTTATCATGAAAGTTAACATGCCCAGTGTCATGAGAAAACCATTCTTTGTTTAATTATGTTAAGTTACATTTCTCATTTCTCTTTCAAGTCATTTCAACAGTCATCACATGATAAATGAATGCTCATTTAGTAGATACTGTACACAGACAAAGTTTTCCTACACTTTATACTGTTACACACTAGCCCACATGGCTGATAGATATTTACCTGATTATGTTTCCAGACTTTTAGCAATGTCATTTCTTTTTTAACTCCTTAGATCTCTGCATTTATGTTTGGACTGCTAATAATTTTCTTCATTTCATCCTCTGTCGTTTTCTCTACCTCCCTCCCCCATGACTCCAGCTGGTACCAGGAAGATGCCAGTCGCAGTGACGCAGAGGAGAAGCTGATGACACAACCTGTGGGGGCCTTTCTGATACGAGGCAGCCAAAGTGCAGCCCTGGGTGACTTCTCTATCTCTGTCAGGTGTGTGTCTATGTGTGCATGTAGGTGCCTTTCAATCAAGGGGCTGACATATAGCTCACATTCACATTTACGGGCAATTTAGAGTAATATGCATGTCTTTGGACTGTGGGAGGAAGCCAGGTTTCTCACAGGAAACACACAGGCACGAGGAGAATATGCAAAGTCAGGCTTGAACCAACCTTCCTGCTAACCACTGCACCACCATGCCACCCACCTGTAGGGCTAACAAGGACTGAAACTTGGTTACTATTAATCAACTATAGCTGTGAGTGATTTCATGGATGCAGTTAGTGATGGGTAACAGTTAAAGAGATGGCTTTTACTGTTTTGGTTGATGCCATATGTTTTTAGTATATTGCAGGTAAACTTGGTATTGCGTTGCTGCTGCAAACATACTAGCATCAGCAATCATTTCTACGAGTAAGCCTACTGGTAGAAATTAATAGTTTCAAATTCTGTTTCTTTTCTTGCCTGCAATGAAACCCTTTTTTTTCCCCCAAAAATCTATCTTTTTAAGATTGTCCACCGTTTTCGCTTCTCCTATACGTTTTTGCTTTTTTTTTTTTAAAATGCCTTTCAGTGATCCCCCCCAACTTGTTCTTCTCAACCAAGATTTTTCTCATTCTGCTTCACTGTCACATGAGTGTAGGCAGCCCTATAAATGCAAATGTCTCTGACTGACTGAGTGATGGAGTTGAGTGAGTGATGGAGATACACCATTGGTCAGCCGAATGCTGTGTGACTGAGTGATAAGGTTACTCCATTGGCCAGTTGGCCGAATGTTGGAGTTTCCTCACTGGTCGTTGCTCTTTTAAAATGATTGAGCACAAACAACTTGTTGATAAATTAGCACCTTTCTTGCTAAATTTACCAGCTTTTCAGACCCCTTTACCAACTCTTTTTCAAATAAGCACCTAGAGACAAATTCAGCAAGTTTCTGGACAAACCTCAGTTACTTTCAGTGGAAAACAGACACCAGTATTGCCCCATGAGCATGAGGTCGGGCTTTCCCTCCGCAGACACACTTCTCTATGCTGATTGCATGGCAGATGACGTGAATGAGCCTCTAACTTCTTCTCTGAGTGATCATTTTATGTAAGTAAATATGGACAAAATCACAGTACAGCTGTTGATTATAACTCATGTGTCTGGTGATTTTGTCAGACATCGTCATGGTTATAAGATCAGGATTTTAGCTGCAGTTTGGAAACGGCTTTGAAGTGACTACTGGTTAACATGTAGTCTTAACAACAGACAGAGAAAAACCTGTAAATGAGAACTGCTTTATTGAGAATTCAGCTGTATTAAAACATTGTTAATGTGAACACAGAGAGGAGATAAGCAAACAGATAAACATCTGAAAGTAGGAAGAATGCAAATAGTCTAAGACATGGCCCAGACACATACATTGTTGTGACCTGGTCTTGTGTGTATTTATTACTGTCTGACCACACCACTTCCTCCTGCAGACACACTTTCTGTCTGAGAACCTTTTCTGCTTACAACAGTGTAACACTGACTGTGACATGCTGTAGCTGAAGCTTCGCATCACATGAATCCACTGAACTTCCTATGAAAAATGCCTGTTCAGTGACACACATCCAGGTGCAGATGGTTATGGGATACATCATGATGAGCATTACACAGACTGATCAGTACAAATCTGATGTTTTGGTTCAAGCAAGACATCAGAACTCTGGATACTTAAAGATACTTCACAAGACTTTCTTAGATTTGAAGACCATCGATAATTCTTTAAGTAACAGAAAAGGTGGAGTCTTATGACGTAGGTGTTTCTTTGCAAATTTAAATGCACCAGAATTAAACTATAGGTAAAGACAACAACAGGGGAGCTTAGCTGGATCTTGGTGCAAGGGTTGTATGTGTAACTGCCAACCACAACAACAAATATAAATAGCTGTTCAGTTAGAACCAGGCAAATTTAATTTCAAACATGTTTGATACTTGCGAGAATTAGGACATTCAAATCAAATAACAGTAAGAGGAGGAACAAAACGAGCCTTTCACAGAAAATAAAAAGATGTGGAGAAGAGTGAGGGAGTGAGAGAGCGAGGGTGTAGTGTGTGTGTGTGTGTGTGTGTTTGAGTGAGACAGAGAGACAGCCTTTGTGAGGGACCCAAAGAGCTTTCCTAACATTAGCTCTGCTGGAAAGTTTTAAATAATATCATGTAGCAGCAGAGCTCTTGTCTTTTCATGACAATGACAGAAGTCAGTGAATGTCGTTTTCCCTCCCAGTTTCAAAACTTGTCGGGATTTAAAAACTCCTGGCTCAACCTTGCAAACCTCTTCCTGTTTAGTTAGATGTTGCTTAGCAACACAAACAAGAGAAAATCTAGTGCTCAGGAACTATTTTATGATGTTTGAAACAGAAACACAAGATCTAAATTAGTTTTAAGTGTAAATTAACAACTGATTTGATTTGACTGATTTAATTTGTTTGCATATGGTACTTTGTTGGCAGCTCGTGTTAGCCACTGGGTCTTCATCAAAATCATGAACTGTACAACTTTTCTGGTTTTATCTCTTACTTCCTTTACTAAGATGGATTCTTCCCTGTATAATGTTGGTGCTATATGGCAGACCCATGCACAAAACACAAAACTTCCGGGTGGCTGACAAAAGAATTTCATGTTGATGTTGTAGATTACCTTAAAGTTTTGACTATTAGAGAGTGAATTTTTGTTTTTTAGTGGAGCAGAAGTGTCCTCTCCTGTATGCTCTTTCCTTGTTTTCCCTTCTCCCTCTCCTTTCAAACCTTCATACTATTTAATATTTTTTATTTCCTTCATGTAGCATTTCTCTTCCCTTTTAAATTCTGTTCTAATCCACCTTAGTTACATCCTGTCTCCTTCTTTCTGGCTAGTGGTAAGAATATGGCAAGGTCTGTTCAATAACAAAAGATGGAGAGATTGTTGTAAATAAGAAGTCAATGCTACAATTTGTTAGAAATTTACAAGAAACAGAATTTATAAATGTATAAATATTGTATTTCTTTTTTAATTTTACTCTCTTGTAGACATGCAACAGATGTACAGCACTTCAAGGTGCTGCAGGATGGGAGAGGGCAGTATAAGCTGTGGTCAGAAAAGTTCCCTTCTCTCAACCAGCTGGTGGAATTTTATAAAAAAAACACTGTCTCTAAACACACTCAGATATTTCTACAGGAGACACAACAACAGGTAGGAAACCTAATGTAAAACTTCAGCCAAACTAATGTGTACCCTTTTTTTTTTTTTTTAAGAGTGTGCTTTAATATTAATTACCGATAGCTATTTTTTCCTGTATTCCTATGGCTTCACAAGATTATCAATTTAAAAAGGAATCACAAACAATTATACTATGTTTCCCGAAAATTAGGTCTGGATTTATTATATTCAAAGGGATTTAATAATTTCAGGAATAATAAAAAATAAGTTAAAGGAATAAGACAAAAAAAAGGTTCACACAAAATTAAATAACTGCTATTTATAGCAGTAACCCAGCAAATTCAGTCTACTGACTAACTTTGTATTTAACCAAATAAATTGTACTTATATCGCTCCACCTTTGTTTTGCTTCTATATTTCAACCTTTAATAACCCTTTTATTTCCCTTTAAACCTTGTTTTGTTTCTATATGTCAACCGTTAATAAACCACTTTATGTACTTTTATTTAACGTAAAACAAGCGGGCGATAAAAATTAAATAAATTTAAACAAATAAACCCCAGTTGCAGGTCCGATGGCGAAATGACGTAGAAGTTGCTTCACTCTAACTAAGCAAACATAACTGTTCAGTACTCACAATAGCCGCAGGTTGGTCACACAATCCCAGTGTTTGATATCCACGCTGGTGGGGTGAGCAGGCGGGCTGATGGCTGACCGTGGCGGGCTGACAGGGGAGTCCTCTCTCCGTCCCACGTCTTCCTTCAAGAAGTTTCCAGGCTTCACTTGGCTACCTGTGGCGCTGGCTGGTGACACCGACTGTCTCTTGTGATCCAAAGAAACTTCCAGACCTTAGCCGAGAAACAAACTTCTAGTCTGTCTGCGAAGTTCAGATTGTTCCTTGTGGCAGCTAACTTAGCTCGCTAGCTAGCTAGATAGCTGAAAAGGCTAATAATAACACATCATCTACTGCGCCTACTACTTAACTTCTCACAGTACACATACCAATTTTCACTGGTTAGCAGTCTTGCGATCTAATGTGTACAGGGCATTAGCTGGCAAACCACTCTTTAAATCTGTTTTACAAGAGTTCTCAGTCTTTCCTTCCCGCACTTGTCCACCGAGCACCGATCTTGGCTACGCACACCGCTAGCTCATTTTTTTTCGCTCTACCTCCGCACCTCGTCAGGTCCCGCCCCCCAGCCAATCACAATGCAGAAAAATCACATGACTCTTAATCAACCAACCACATATGGTAAAATCCAACACAATAGGTTGTACTGTTAACTCCACATTCTCACGATGTACAATGCAAACAACCTAAGCCTATTTAAAGTGGCAGAAATGTTTACATGGAGCTGAACATGTTTATACTGGCCACAGCATATTTATTCTGAGTAGGAAAAGAAAATTAGCAACTAGAGTTGGACAAAAAAATTAAGATGTACTTTTATTTATGGACAGTTTACACTAGAAATTTAAAGTCTCATGGTAAAATAAGGGACTAAATGACCTGTCATACAATCAGACAAGTCATTGTATGTGTGGTTCAAGAATCATTTTGAAAAGTATTTTTTGAATATTATCCTCTGAATACAGTGAAGATAAACAAAGGAAATTTACAAAGATAAAATATACTGTAAAGCTTTTCATGTCCCAACAGCAGAGAGGAAGCTCAGACAATCTCCCACCTCTCCCTGCTTCTCTCCATACTCCTCCAGTGCTCGACCGCCCATGTAAACCTGCACCAAGACAGGTATTTAATACAGTGTGTGTCTGTGTATGTGTCTTTTGTGTGCCTACACTGATGTGTGTGTGCACAGAATTCAGGTAGAAATCTCTGCACACAAGAAATTAAACTCTGAAACGTCTTGCAGCTGTAATATTGAGCTGAAAAAGTGAGTGTGGATCAACTTTTAAAAGATCTCTGAAACTTGTCTTTCTGTCTGTGTGTCTCATCTTGTACATCCTCCTCTGTGTCCAGCACAAAGCTTCCTCCACCAGGAAGGTCAAAGCTCTGTACAGTTTCCATGCTGAAGACACAGATGAGCTGGAGTTCAGCGTCGGCGATATCATCGAGGTCCTGGAGTGCTCTGACCAGGCCTGGTGGAGAGGCCAGCTGAGGGGCAGGACAGGCCTGTTCCCCTCCAACTACACCAGCCCCATCTGACAGGAGCACACAAATAAAGACAAACAGGTGTTATATTACAGTAACGTTTTATTCCAGTTAATGCCTAATGCTAACACTCTCAACTTAACCCTGAACCTGCATGAAGTCTTCAATAGAATAGAAAAATATAAAACTGGTTGTTTGTCAAACTGCTTTCAAAGATTTAACACATGAAGTTTATATATTGGGTTCAATATTTTATATATTTATAACATACAGCAATCCTAAACATGATGAATTTGATTCCAATACATCTGGAAAAAGTGACATCTGCTTTTACAAAGTGACTGATAACACAAAATAATCAAACCAATGCCATGGTCGTGTACTGTGTCAGTTATACTGTAACACTGCTGTCCTTTATTCCACTGAATTTGGTCTGAGTATTTGACATAAACTATAACCTGCAATATAAAAGATATGAATATGTCACAACAACAGTAATGTATTTATTTTTGAAAATGCTTTATTTTTTAATAAAAAACATTGATAAGCATTATTATTGAGAGTTGACAGTATATACTGTATATATATATATGTATATATATATATATATATACACACTCATTTTCAGTCGGGAAAAATATTATGCTATTACAGTGTTATCTATTAAATCATGCTTTCCAAATATCTGGAGCAAAATACTTCACTTTACGTCAGTGGTTCTATAAACTGACACTCGGCTCTGCAGCACTCCTACATGATATAACAATCCCTCAATGGTCATAGTTACAATAAGTTACAACTTAGGAAGCTTTTGAAGTTGTAGCTGATTGCTCAGCATCCATAGAACAACAGTGTCCTGTAAAATCAATAACACCTAAACCATCCAGAAGATGCATTCAGTGCTTTGTAATACTGAAAGGTGAGAACAAAACACACAGTGCCATGAATAAAATCGTTACACATTTACAGTGGTGGCCAAAATTATTAGAACACCTGAACACCAGCTGAAAATATTGACCTGTTTTTTTGCCTCCAAAACATGATTTCATTTCGCAATGTTCATGAAACATGCAGATGGTTGCTCTGAACACAACAAATACCAGATAAAGTGAGTCCTAATGTTTTTATCCACTGTTAACTTTAATATCTCGTATGTCCACCTTTTGCAGCAATTACAGCAGCACATCTCTCTGGCATAGGGTCAATATATTTCCTGAGAACTTCACCACTAATTTTCTCCCATGCCTTCTGCAACTCAAGCCAAAGGCTTTCCTTTGAATGTACAATAGATTTGTCCAGTTTATTTTCCAACTCGCTCCAAATTTGCACAATGGGGGTGAGGTCTGGACTTTGAGGGGGCCAGTCCATCATTTTCAATGTTCCAGCAGATTCCTTCTGTCACAGGTAGTTCCGGCAATAGTTAGAAGAATGTTTAGGGTCAGTGTCCTCTTGGAAAATAAATCCAGGCCCAATAAGACGACTCCCAGATGGTACTCCGTGCCTCACCAGAATGTTGTGGTATACTTTCTTATCCATGATGCCATCAATTTTCAGTACGTCACCTGTTCCTGAGGCTGAAATGGCACCCCACACCATAATACTACCCCCTCTGTGTTTAACTGTTGGCAAGAGACACTCATTTTTATATCTCTCCCCCTCCGTCTGTCAAACATACACTCTTCGCTTGTCGCCAAACTGTTAAAACTTGGACTCATCTGTCCACAACACTTTATACCAATCTTCCTTCGTCCATTTCTTGTGTTCTTTTGTCCATTTCAGGCGTTTCACTCTATTTTTCTCTTTCAGTAATGGTGTCTTTGCTGCTATTCTGCCAACAAGTCCTTCTTCTCCCAGTTTCCGACGCACAGTTCTTGAAGACACTGTTGCACCATTAGTCATTGTGGTGTTGATCTCGTCACACAGTTCTCGTGAGGTCTTTCTTCGGTCCTTAAGACTGAGAATTTTGAGATGCTTCACATGTCTGTCTGAAAGTTTATTTTTTCTACCTCTCCCCTTTCGGTTCTGGTGTGAATTGGTGGCATCATGGCGGTCTAAAGTGTACTTTACAGTGCTTGGACTGCATCCGAAGTCCTTGGCTATGCGGCGGTAACTCCAGCCAGCATCAAAAAGGGCCTTTATTCGAACCCGTTGCTCACTCATTAGCTCCTTCTTCACCTTAGCCATGTGCTTCAAGAACTACTTCTAGAGGCTTTGAATTTATGCCAATTGGTGGTGTGACCTCAGTGACAAAACCCTGATGTTGCCAATCACTTAATGAGCAGGAGATGCCTTGTACATTCAAAGGAATCACACAGCTGTGTCCTAAGACTCTTGCATCACCATCAATTTAACCACGATCACACCTGACAATGATTACACAAGTAATTTGGCTTCTTCTGTGAAGGAACATGATTGTGTGACATTGATAGTGAAATAGGCCTAGCTTGTTTTTTGTAAGGAAAATGACCTAAATCTCCTTATGATGGCTCTATTCTATGGTTTATATAAATCTAGGATTTGTCATATATTCAATGTGGCACGAGACTATCTTGACCTACATATAAATTGTTCTTTGCTCAGTTTATTATCTGGGTTTGTTTATGCAACATGAGCACAGGGTAGATGGAAGAGAAACTCCTAACAGCCCTACCTTTAAACAGAACCAGCCCTTTGCAAACAACTGATGCATTCAAGTCCTGTTTGTAAATTGGAAATTCCGATTTGCAATCCTAACTCCCAGATCCATTTCTTCTAAATTCATATTTGACAGGTTGCCTAATGTTACAAAGATTTGTTATGTACATGGACTGCAAGAGTTAAATTCAAACATTTTGCAGAATAAGAGAATGTGTGATATAGGTGTTATTTAGTTATTAAATGTGAAAAATGTGAGCGAAAAGCACTAAATTGATCTTATTCACTGACTGTAAGGAATTCTTTCAAGGCCACATTTAACAGACAGTGTCTTGTGCGTACCTACAGCCTAGTGTCCTTTTTTCCGATAGCACATGAACGCAGCATAGAGTTTCCGCCTCATTCCCGTCCCGGACAGGTAAGAAAACTCTCCCAGGTTAGTTCAATCTGTCCGGGTCTGGTGTCACACATATTGAGAGGTTTTGCCAAACAGACCACAGAGTTTCTGAGCTGCAGGAGGGGTAACCGCCGCCACAGCCATGGCCGAATCCCAGCTTATGTGCATGGAAGACGGCCACATCGGAGCCAGTGTCCCGGAGACTAAACCGGAGTTTTACTACAGCGAGGAGCAGCGCGCTGCCATCGAGGAGCTCCTCAAGAACGGCGACGGTGCCTTCAAAACAAGACTCAAAGATGACAACATGAAAGACTTTCTATCGGCCAGAGAAGTCAAAGTGTTGTTGAGCACTTTCAAACAGTATGACTCGGGTAATGACAGCAACAGCAGCAGCAGCAGCAGCAGCAAAGCCACACAGTCCAAGTCGGATCAGGGAGCCGCCGGCACCGACGCGGATGATTCGGGGGTCCATTCCACCTACTGGCCCCAGATGTCGGACACCCAGGTGCCGCCGCTGGATATCGGCTGGACCGGCGGGGGTCTGTTCAAAGGGGTGACCCGGGTGGTCGTGCACACACATCCGCCTAAAGATAATGGACCTCACATCAAAGAGGTGGTGCGGCGGCTCATACAGGAGGCCAACAAGGTGAGGAGGGCAAGTCCGAGGCAGACATGGCCAGTATTCTCCTTTACAGTCATGATAGTGAAAAAGTAATCTTAAATTCACACTATCAGATTATGTCAGTTAATATATAACTTTTTATGTCCCCTTTTTGAAATCTTCATATTACAGTTCAAAAATAAAGTTCATGATGTCCTCTATAATTATTTTAATAATAAGAAAACTGTACAAAATACCAAATAGTCTGTCATAATAGGCAGGATGAGGCTACACCAAAATGAATACAGTTAAAACCTTAATAGCACAGGTGAGCCCAGGATAGAGATTTATGAAGCGCTGTGAGGAATAGGCAACATTTCACAGAAAGAATAGCATGTGTTTAAAGTCACCAGTTGACTAAATAAGTCATTAGAGACAATAACAAGACAAGGGGGTGAGGTCAAATGTTACAGAGCAAAAATACAGTGTTGTCAAGGGACATCACCTGTGTGTGTGGATGACAGGACAGTTTCGTTTTCTGTATCACCTGCAATCTTAACATAACTACAGGAAGTTATGCTTGTATTACCTGCTTGAATGCTGTAATTCACGTCGGCAGTAAATAACACACACGTTTAACCACATGTTTAAAGAGATGTATCACTGCCTGGAAACAATCTGACGGATGGATCCAAAGAAAGAACCTGAAGGAAGAAGAAAATATATAATGAGGAAAAAAGAGAAATGAAAAAGACAAAAGAAAAAATGATACGGTTGTTTACGGTGTTTATTTATTATTTAATCTGGACTGCAAAACTCCACGTCTACAATAGAGAACATGGGAGGTCAGTCAGTTTCTGTCAGCAGTAATAGTGCTGCACTATGTGGCCAAAAGTATGAGGACACCAGAACATTATGCCCATATATGGCTGTTGAAGATATAATTCAAAAACCATGGGGCTGCAACTAACAAATATAACTACTGATTAATCTTATTAATTTTATGAATCTTATTAATCTATTTATCACAACTACCATGTAATTGTATTGTTCTGTCTGACCAATGGCCCAGAACTCAAATACATGAGATTTACTTTTTTGGTCCAACATGAAAAGCAAATATTCAGCTTTGAGAAGTTTTGACATATTCTCTTAAAACAAGACTTAAAACCTTATTGATTGTTGTAATTCTTGCAGATGATAAAGCCCGACTTTAATCACAAACAAAAGCAAAATACTCCACTTTTTAAATTATCTTCTGATAATAAAACTGAACATCTTGAGGGTTTGAGGGGTTGGCTGGAATATGATGACGTTACCTCGGTCTTAAGGAAATCCTGATGGGCATTTTTCAAACATTTGCAGATAAATGATTCATAGATTACGCAATAAAATCTTCTGATAATGAGAATAATCGCTGGTGTCAGCCCTTAAGGAGAGCAGTGTCACGCTGAACCAGGAGAGGGTCTTCCCAGAATTTCTGCCACAAAGTTGGAGGCACATTGTTGTTTATAACATCATTAAGATTCCTTTTAATGGGAACTAAAGGACCACCATGTTGTAATATTACACTACCTTCTTTAGCTGGGGCCTCAGTTTACTGCCAACTTGTTCACCTACAAAGCCAATCTGCCCTTTGCAGTCGTATGTTCAGTCGCGTATGGTCCAGGTGGGATGGAGTCATGTTCGAGTGATTAATACCCCCCCCCCACACACACAGTGACTGAGAGCCTGGAGTGGGTCTGTGTTTTCACGTTGCCCGTCGTAATGTTTACTCAGAGACTGCCAGATGACTCCGCTGAGTCATCCTCTCCGCCTGCTCACAGTGTCAGGCCCTGCTCGGCCTCCCTGCCTCTTAATGCCTCTTAAAAACTGGGTCAGGAAGGACGACACGAGCATGTTTCCAAATAACTCCTTCAGAGCTGTTTAATTGGTTTTATTGATTCCCCAGAATTATCTTGAGAAATTCCCCTTCTTTTTTTTCTTCCTCCTCCTCCTCTGTCCTTCTTTCCCCCTCCCACTTTCTTTCTTTTCTTTTGTGTTGTTGCATTCCTTTCTTTAATGTTTTGTTTTTTAACTTTCTTTCCATTTACATGCTCATGTTCTTACTTTCCTTTCCTTCCTTTCTTCCTGGTTGCAAACAAATTCATGTTACAACTCAGAAGTTCTACAAGTGGTTAAACTAGATAACTGGCCCTTGACAGATTCCTCTTTTATGCTTTTATGCTTTTATGCTTTTATTGATGAAGTGATTTGCAGTCCGCAGTGCGTACACATCCATTACCTTCCACTTATTACCTTATCATGCAGGGCACACAGCAGGTACACGTCAGTGTTTTCTTTACTAGCTCACGTCCTCTTTTAATATTCTCCTAGGTAAGCCAGGAGTAAGAGCTTCCAGCTCTCTATACGCCTCATAATAAACCTATTTTTAAAAAAAAAAGTTTTTCTATCTTTTGTGGGTGGTTCCCAAAGTTGTCGGATAAAGAAAAGATTACATGTAACATGGTAGTTAAGCTTGCTATGCATGTGTGGAATGTTACAAACCTACCAGCTTTGTTGTAACTGATCAGAAATAATTACACTCACACACTAATGTAACACACGCTGAGCAACCAGTTCTCCCGGCGCCAACATGTTCATCTTTGCACGCAGATATTACATCTACTGTCGCTGTATGTTTCTTGGTTTTTTTTTTTCTCACTTTGCTTAATGATGATGATCCAGTCTGTTAGGCTTCTCAGTACCGAGTCTACTGTCCACATGCCTCAGCTTGTATCTCTGTCGTTACCCTCGCACGTCTGCTCGGCATTTTTCCTCAATGAGACACTGGGTGGAAACAACAGGCCTTTTCTGAGAGGAACAGAGCAACATTTGTTGCAAGGTTAAAGTAGAGGGTTTTTCCATGACTCTGGTTTTCAGGGGGCAGTGGAACAGTCCAATAATGCACACTTCCCAGGCCTTCATCCTCCGCTTGGACTGAACATGTCTCCACATGTTTGAAAGGACCAACTGTCTCTCTTTTTACCTCTCTTTTTTTAACCTGCACGTCTCCATCCTACGTTTCATAGACCCAACAAGATACCTTTACGGCTTTGACCCTGAATGACTGAGTTCCTTTAACACCGATGATCCACGGACCTCGTCTTGTAAGCTGCAGGGCCTAAGAATGACACTTCTGGTCCTCTGTCTGTCTGTCCAACATTTTGGTCTACACGTCTGGACTACAACGGACCGGACTAACATTAATTTACATTTAGACATTTTGTTGTCGGTTTCGAGGAATCCTTTTTTTTTTTCTTTTTTTTTTTTAAGCTTTATTCATTCGGGTGAATTTCACTGAGAGACAACCTCTCTCTATAACAGGAACGCCCTGATCACACCCACATAGTTCCACACATACACACCTGGAAGCTGCCAGCACCAACACAATCTGTCCACTCAGCAGCTCCACTGGAGCAGTTGAGGTTAAAGGCCTTGCCAAAGGGCACCAAGTGCTGCTATATCACTTTTCCCATCACAACACCTTTTGTGTAGTGCCACAATATCACTACTTGTATATGAGATACATTTAAAATGTAATGGGCAGCTTATCATGACACTATTTTCCATGACAAACATTTCCTGTAGCTCCACTCCATCCATTAGCTATAGCACTTACCCTCGAGGGGTCGCTGGAGCCACTCCCAGCTGATGTTGGACAAGTCGCCCGGCTATCTCAGGGCTGACATACACAAATAAACAACCAGTCACGCTCACAATCACACCTACATGCAATTTAGAAAAAGCAACACTCACAGGCAAAAACTTAACATACACAAGATAACTCCAATCTATTAAGCAGCTTGGCACAAAATGTGCAGGGCAAATTTATAAAACCCCTTTTTATATATATATAATGATCTAGTAGCAGTGGTCACTTTTTCTCTAGCACCCTCCTTTGAACACATACGCTTAAACTGTATGACATACTATACCTTGGTCACCAACGAGGTGCCGTGGACCAGCTTCACTGTCTCCTCTGACAGAACCAACAACCAGTGCTGATGTATGTAATCGCAGTTTTATGAATGAAAGTGAACAGTTCATTACTTTCCAATTAGATATTTTTCTCCCTGTGATTAGGTAGAAAGAGGGAGAGTATGTGGATATACAGCTCGCACACTTGTGCAGAGGATACCATCACAAGCACAGTGGTGATATATTTGGTAGAATGCTCCAGGCATGAGGGTGATTTGTGAGTCAAATAGTTGCAGGGTCACTGAAATAAGATAAAACATTCCTCTGAAAGAGGTGCTAGTCTTTGTGTCTGAGTCACCCCTTTATACGACACGACACGACACGACACGACACGACACGACACTGGATAAATCAAGCAGTCAGTTTTGATCTTGATGCTTAATGTCTTCTTTTTTTTTAGGCTGGGCTGTAATCGGTTGATTGAAATTGTCATTAGTATTGAACTGGTAAGTGTTTCAACCCCCACAAAGGCTCTCTAAAAAAAACAACAGAATCAAAATAGTCAATTTGTTGAAGTGAAAAAACTAAACAAAAAAGGACCATAGTCAACATCTAAAACAAACAACAGAAAGGTGATGGGCCGTGGTTGGATGGAAAGCCACTCAGAACAACCCACAAAGGGTCGTAGGATCTGGTGTCTTCCCTCAAACCTAAACCAACACCAAAACTAAACCTCACAGAAAGAACGCCACAGAAAACCCATCACAAAAACAAAAGGAGCAGTGAAACAGACCTCTAAAGCATCAACACTAACTGCTGCTGCGGCGGCTGGAAGGTGGAAGACGGTGTGCTGCCCCCTCTCTATGGGTTTCCTCTCAATCAGACCAGAACACACAACACCTGAGGAGAGAAGATGAAACATCATGAGTCAAGGAACATTTGCACGTCATGAACAGCAGGGGGCGAGAATGTAACATAAAGTAACTTGTAATAACAAAATGATCGGATCAGTGTGTTGTTCACTCCACTTTATTGTCAGGTATGATGAACACTGCAGCCTCGAGGTGCCATCAACAGGGTCTTTAACTTCCTGTGGTTGACCCTGATCCTGACGTTCATCACTTTATGATGCACGAGTATCAGAACAGATCATAAAACTACATCAAACATATACAGAGCAGCAGGAGACTGTCGTTTCCCCCCTTGCACCTTCTGGTCTTTTTCAGCATTTAGTTGTTATTTTTTACTAGTTACAGTTAAATGCAGAAAAAGACCAATTAACCGTCGTCTTGTTTGGCTTTTATTTGGTAAAAAGCTATAAGTGCTACTACGAATCCCAGCAGTCCGACAGAGGAGAAAGCGAAAGCTGCACGGCAACATTTCTTAAGACACAGACAGATATAAATCCTCAATTCCTCAACAAGTCTCCTTTTGTTGTTGTTACAGAGCTGTGTCTCTATGATCTGTCAGCCTGACTGGAACACAGCAGAGGGATAATACTGTGGTTTTGTCAGACCAGCAGCTAAGACTCTTTCATGCGGCTGTACAGCGCCCTCAGGGTGAGTGTATCCCTGGGTGGTAAAGAGCCTCGGTTAGACAGATTAGCTTCACCTGCTGGTTTCTTTGTTGGCTGTCTAAAAAGACATTCTGCCTCTAAGCATTTTATAGATTTTTTTTTTTCCTTAGCTATAGAAATGTAACATGGATGAGAACCAGAGCACTTAAATCCATGCTTCTTCATTTGTTACAATGTGTTTTTCTTCCTGCTACATGATTTACTGACCCAGCAGCAAGTGGAAATTTCATAAATGCGCATTTTTAAAATGTAAATCCAGCTTTTGTAAAATTTGTAAAAGGGTTTTGTGGAAAATGCACAGCCATGAAGCACGAAAGTGAAGCCCATTACTGGCTTAAAGTTAAAGGGATAGTTCGGGTTGTTTGACGTGGGCATGTGTGAGGTACTGAGGTACTGAGCGATGTGTTGCTGTGCACAAAGCTAGCAGGAAAAAAACGTGTTTTAGACACTTTTAAAAACAACCACCGAAACAATCTAATATCCGTTTAAATGTCCGCTTCCTGTAGAATATTTTCAGCGGTTTATCTTCCCAGGAATGGGGCCCAGAAAAAGAAAGACACATTTGAAGGAGCCTTCGAAATGGGGCAGCCTAGTCACGCCGCTGTGACGCATTCTGCCTTTGAAAGCAGCCTTTTTTTAAAAACTTGCCCTAAATTATGTGATCACACAAACCCATTCCTCTACATTACTACCTAAATATATTATTAATTGCTGTTGCCTTTTAAAATACGTCTTCTCTTGCAGGTGATAGCGATAGTGATGGACATGCTCACAGACGTCCAGATCCTGCAGGACCTGATGGACGCGGCCTGGCGACGCTCCGTGCCCATTTACATCTTGTTGGATCACCAAGGCGTGCCACACTTCCTGGATATGTGCTCCAGGCTGCAGATTGGCTCACAGCACCTGCGGGTAAGGAGATGAATGCAGCACAGACATTAAGCACGAGAATGACCCTGGATTCATTTCTGACAGGTGTGATTTATTGTTACAATGATATGGATTACCTTCATAGCAACGCCTCAGAAATAGTCCAGGAGCCATACTGTAGCATATCGCCCACAGTTTCATTACCTGTATGAAGTTCTTGGGGTTAAAGTCAAAGTGTAGTATCGGCTGTGTGCGTCTTTGGTACAAAGTCACCCTCTCAACATTGCTGGCTGTGTTGTTTTCCTGTTTGCGGCCTGACTGTGATCCTCTGTGGCTGCAGAACATCAGAACCAGGACGCTGCAGGGAACCGGATTCGGTTTGTCCTTCGGCAGACTGCCTGGTTCACTCTGTAACAAGTACATGCTGGTGGACGGAGAAAAAGTCATGTTCGGCTCCTACAGGTGAGGTGTAATCGTGTGTGCATGAGTTCTAGTGTAGATCTTGTTAATCTTGAAGTATTTTCTATAAAATGATTTTTAATGTTTGCTGTAAGCCTAATAAACCAATGAGGACACGCAGAATCTAATGAAGTTGATAAATGGCGTCTCTGTCGCAGTTTCTCCTGGTGTACATCTCGTATGGACCGAAACATGATCACCGTGATGACGGGGCAAGTGGTTGACTTCTTTGACCGGGACTTCCGTGAAATGTACGCCATCTCTGAGAAGTTGGACCTCTACAAGGAGTTCCACGTTAGCCCGCCTGCTGCTAACGTGACCGCTACAATACGATCCAAAGCGGGGCCCAAACGCCCGCCTCTGCCAGCCACCACGTCCCGTTTCCAGGTCAGCTTAGGGGATTCTCGGAAAGCCAAAATCCAGGTGCCTGCTCACAAATACTACAACCCCAAATACTCGCTGGTGTTTGGGGACATCCCACGTCCAACAGGGTCTCTGCAGGGGCCAGGACCTAAGAGGGGCTCACTCCTGGCTGAGGCTCCCGAGGAGATACACGAGGGGAGGCCACGACAGGCCAGTAGTGAGAGGACGGGCCAGCTGAGTCCGGTGCCATCAGAAGCCCCGAGTGAAAGTTTCAAGAGGCCCAATGGACTCACGCAGGACAAGAAGAGGCAGCTCACATGGACGCAGAAATTATTCAGGAAGAAATTGTCCAGTAAGCCTTCATCCAACAGCCCTGCAGACAGCACATGTCCTTCACCCACAGAAACCAACCGGGCCGATGAGAACGAAGACAACTATGAGGTGATCGTGAAATCTCCATCCAAATGGAAGACGAAGAAGCCGTCTAAACTGGGCCGGAAGACAGAGTCTGAGCAAACTGTCGCTGCACAGGACAATGAGAGTAAGTTAGGGATAAAGTGGATACGTCTAAAGATTGACAAATGATTTAATCAGTGGTTCTCAACCTGTGGGCCCAATTTTTGTAAAGGGTTGAAAGGTAGGAATGATGAGATGATTTAACTGTAAGGAAAGCAGAAAATATATTTTTTTACTCTAATCTAGGAAAAATAATTTAAAAAAAGAATAATAAAGAGTCACAAATAGTCTTTTCTTCATTTAAATAGGTCACATGCCCAAAGTGTTGGAAACCGCTGAACTAATCTAACTTTTACAGCAAATAAACTACCGGTAGTTATTTTTTTGGGTTAGGGTTAGTGTTCACAGGCATTATCCTATACCAATCCTGACATAATGTCTTGACATAATGTGTTTTCTTTTTCATACAGGTGTTAAGAGTCGACGTCGAAAAAAACAAGAATGTAATGTGTCCTGAGGTGAACCTGCCATTCTCTGACGACAGAAAGCAGTCACGCAGGCTTGAGATGGATTACAAAAATAACTTTCTTAACACTAATGACACTTTTGTTTGTGCAATATTGTATGTGCCTTACAGAAAGAAAAGATCAATCAGGTTGTGATGCATTCTGTTTTTATGTTTAGTGCCAAATGTAAAATGAAAATTCAAAGTCTTAAGGGATATCTATTTCCCTGGGAGAGTGCAGAAAGGTTTAAATGAGATATTTCCCGGTGATCACTTGAGTCTTGTTTGCTCTGAGCCTCTTTTTGGGGCTTCAGGGATTTAGGGATAACTGCTTCCCTGCTGGACCCTGAGTGCATAGGTTTATAGTGTACATTTTAGTGCACAAAATGTGAAATAAGTTTGCACAAATCTTCTTCATCTGTTTAGAGAATATATTGAAATGAGGTTGTCGGAGGTTGCAAATCGAACATTTTAATTCAAACATCCAATTCTTAGATGAATGATTTTTCCCTGATCAGGAATTATCTGTAACCATGAACCATACCTGACCTCTGAAGAACTAACTCTGCTGAAAGATCCAAAATGGGCAAGAACCACTCTTATCATGAGCAACCTAAAGCAGGTCATATTCAAACCTCGGATGATTGTTACCTTTGCTTAAAAAAGAAAGAGGAATCATCAGAGAGAAATCATGAAAAAAAGAAGTTAAGGTGAGTAAATCTCACCTTGTATTACCCCTTAGGTGGTGTTGTGGGCCGTTATGTGTGTACTTTTTCCGTGTTGTCACTTCTCTGCAAATGAATGTTACCAAGAATTTCTGTGAATGTTTTTTTGTTGCACTAATACATTGTGGGATCTTTTGTTCATTGTGCTTACTAAATGGTCTCAGATAAGTAAAGCTTTAAAAGGTATGAGGAAGATTTTTTATTTTTAAATATTTGGATTGTTTAGTGGATGACTGAATTTAAACAGGAGGACCACATGATCAAAGCATTTAAAAATGTGTTTTAAAAACTAAAAAATACAGTAAAAAATAAAATGAAATGGGAGAAAAGCAAGATGTTGTCATAGGGTATTTCTATTCAAACACGATGCTTCACTTTGACTGCAGCTCCACCTGGTGGTGACACCACAGTGCAACTCCAACTTTTAAGATGGAAACCTGATGTGTGCATTCGCAAACTGGCCACTAGGTGACACCCTGGTCCCCCCTCTGCTGTCTCTTCTCCGGGTGTTTCATGACAGCTTGTAACTCAACAGTGGAACCACAGGCATGATGGGAGCTCAGGGTTGGTTTGAGGGTAGAGGTGGGGACGTGAAGTGGGAGGGTGTCTGAGTGGGATGTGGTGCAACACTGAAACAGGAAGTCAGAGCTGCAGCAGGAAGAGGCGTTCTCGCACTCATTTATAGTCTGGTGTTACTCACACACAGCAGGGCCGAAAATATGTTGTTTCCTGAGTTACTTGCATCTTAATGTTCATTCTAAAACACTGCATCTGTCTGTTTAACCAGAAATTCTTCCTGCTCTATCAGAGAGGTTTTCTGTAAGATTAAGTGAAAATCAACAGCCAGAATGTCCGCAAAATGTGTCTACTAGAAAATACAGATCTGACCATAACAAACATGTAGTGCATGGCGGGCAGTACGGATCAGAACTCTGATCAGAGTTTGTTTGCTAGTCGCAGTTGTCTTGGAAAACTCAAACAAAAGCTATGTTTAAAATGCAACCCAAGGATAACTTTTTGAAATACAGCATAAATCTGCAGTTATATGATAATAATAATTAAATTTTTTGATTCTACATAAGCTTTTAAATAAAGTTTTGCTCACAACAACTTGTGAAAAGGCACGAATACAGCTGCATGTGTATGTAAACAATGAGGATTTAAACATTTAAAGGGTTTCATACAGTAGGTAAAAATGGTCATAGAGCCTTAAGGATGTTTACAATGTGTTTTTTGGTGAGGAATGCCGAATGACTAAACCATAACTGTTTAAAATAACAGTGCCATAGACCATCATGCCTTTAATTCAACACTGCAATTCCAGCTGATGTTTGCAAGCTGATGAAAACATGTCAAAGTTAAAATCAGGTTAATTTACTTAAATCTGCAGACAGAACCTGCTCCACACTGGAAATAGGAAGCCATCATTTAAAACATTTACATTTATAATTTTAAATCATAACGTAATGCAAAGCACTAGCTGGTTGATGTAGGAGGCCAGAGGAAGCTGGTACACAACCTGTGTAGGTTCGATTAAATACTTCAAATTAGCTGGTTTCTAAACTTGTGTATGTGATTTTGAATTATACCGCAAAGGTGGTGTTGGTGCTTCAAGAGGCACATGCAATGATGCAAACAGATACTATCACAGCAGGCACACAGAAAGAAGTAAATATGAGGAAGTGAGGTGTGGTCGAATGGTTTCAAAGTGCACTCAGCTGAAAACACAGCTGTCAATCTGCCCTTTGATCCAAAATCAGCATCCAGTCTAACATGTCAACAGTCACAGTTTATTAAATAATTATTTCATGAGACCAAAATGCATACAATATTTACAATGATACACACTATATGGTGTACAGTAGTTACAATGGCTTACAATATAAGGAACAGCTCAACGATTTCTTTAAGATTTTACAGCGTACACATTGCATTCGTAACAAATCAGACCTAATTCATATTGCACTTATTGCACTGCTTTATAATTAAGTGAAACATTAAAAAAGCAGGCTTCTATATTAAAAGGTAAATCCTACGTCACTCTATAAAGTATCACAAATTTAGAAAAGAACAGAAAGAGTAAATACCAAAATGCTTGAGAAAATGCATGAAATTATTTCTGTACAAACTGGAGCATCTCATAAACAAGCAGATGGTCAGATGACACCAAAACTAAAGACCCTTACTTTTGTACTGAACCTTAAAATGACCCACTGCACAGTAACAGAAAGCTGTTTACTGTTACTTTACTTGCAAGTGTCTGGGCCGTGTGAGAACTGTTAGGAAGCTGAGAAAGACACTGCTTTTTGCATTTATTTTTTTATAGCATTCATGGAAGTGCTGAGAGATCACATGCATGATTTGTCTTCATGGAAATAAATCTTGTGGAGTAGACAATCATCAACCAAATGCCACCAATCCTCTCATGTATAGGAGATATAAAAACAAGTGTGGTAAATACACAGCCACTTCTTTAATAATGATGTAAACAGAAAAATAAAAATATCCACAACCGCTGAAGAGATTTCACTAACACCATCTTGCCGACGCTCTGTGGCTTGTCACGTGAAGAAGGAGGGCAACAGAAACGAGTCAATGTTTTTCCACCTTTGACACTGTTAAGCTCAGTCTGTAAAAAGAGAAGTGGAAAGAGAAGTCCCTCTTTTAGCCCAAACAACTGCCCTCAGTGCCAGTCTGTCTGGCCTCCAGTGTCCTCGCACAGATGTGTTGCACAGTGGTAAATACAAGTGAAAGGGGGTCAAAATCCCACGGTGGTGCAGTACCGTAAGCATCCATAGGGGGACAGCTCAGTCCTGAGGCGCTTGGTTTATGACCTTCTTCTTGCGGACTGAGACCAGGTCGTAGAACGGATCTTTGGTGATACTTGCTCTGTTTGAAGTAAAGAAGACTATGATGAAGACGCTTAACCAGCAATATGGGAGAGTGTGTGTGTGTGTGTGTGTGTGTGTGTGTGTGTGTGTGCTTGCATAGCTATCTATCTATCAAAGAACAAATGGCAGTCTTAAATCTTTGCAAGGACATTTCTTTATGACTTCAAAGGAATGTTTGAAGGTAAATATTTGGTTTTAATGTTAAGGTTAGAATTAGATTAGGGGGCGAGGGAATGCATTACCTCATTAAGGGTCCTCACAAGTAGTGACACACAAGACAAGTGTGTGTGTGTGTCTGTGTACATGTCTTTCTATGGCTGTATGGACAAATTTTGGTTTGAAACCATTGTTGTGACAACATCTTGGCCCAACCTCACAAAGCGCTGTTTGAGGGGTCAAGATTTGATTTTAAGGTTGAGGTTAGAATCACGTTTAGGTTAGGGTTAGGGTATTTAATGATACTGCAATCAATATTTAAATATTACAATGGATCAAATGCATTTACTAAAGGTGTTGCCCAACTCTGTAGTTCCCCTCAGTTCTTTGGAGCGTTTTAGCATCTTTCAGCTCATTGGTTAAAACAGCGACTTTACTCTTTTGGTGACTCTTACAGTGATCATCACTGTTTCCAGAGACAGCAAGCAGCTGTTCTCAAAAAAAAAAGCTATGCAAAACTCACTGTATGCTACCCGTCTAGCGCCAAACGGCAGACAGACGAAAATAACAGTTAGCTCCGGGACATAGTGGAGCAACTAAAGAGCCCACGTACTAGAAAGACCAGACCAGAGCTAAAAGGAGAGTGAGCATTGGACTTCTATTCATCAGCCTCACACAAACATGACTCCAAATGAATGCTGATGTTTCCAAACAACATTGTTAACACTGCCAACTAGTGGTGACTTACATGCTCTCTGCACAACCTGACTTCACCCTGCTCTGATGTTGAGAGTGGACATATGTTTACCAGACTTATACCTTTCAACCATCAGAGGAAAGCAGCAACGCTTTTCCTCATCCTCTCATGCTCTGGTAACTCTCTAGCGGAGAGTTACTCTTAAATATGAAAAATAGATATGAAAAATGTTTAGGGAGTGAAGCCGCTCAATAATGATGATCACAGGCAAACAAGACTGCGGGAATGTGCATGTGGATGTGTGTGTTTTCCATGAGTGAAAATAACATAATGTTTCCTGATGTGTCTGGTGTTGATGTTATAGTGCTATTTGTGTTGACGTTTGCATGCTTGTGTGCGTGTGTGTGTGTGTGTGTGTGTGGTCTGACCTGATGGCCTCGATCCAGGAGTCTCTCTCCTCGGCGGTGGCGGCACAGATGGTGTAGGACTGATGTTTCCCCTCCACCACTCGTCCGTCAGTCTCTGTTTTACACGCTTTGATCTTCTGCCCTCGACTGTTGGGGTTGTACAGCTCCAGACAGTACTAGACGACACCGGAATCATGTGATAATCAATTTATAAATCTCTCTATTGATCTATCAAATGATCATTATATTTTATATATATATTATTAAATCTAATTGAATAAGCGCTTCAAACGTGTTTGTGATGAAAGAAAACACAGCTGGCAGGAACTTACCGGTTTGCGGGGATACGGCACTTCTCTCACACAGAGGTTCTCTAGAGGGATGATGCCTCTGGGCTCTTTATCCTGCACACGGATTAAAAAGAGATGGAGTGAGTCAGGTGATGTATCAGGAGGGCAAGAAGAAAGAGCTGAGAGAACCAATATCCTTGGCGTCAAGGAAAGAAGGGAAGCGGGAGAGACAGATGGTTTCGTAATGGCGTACAGATTGTGAAGCCCCTTGAGGCAAATTAGTGATTTGTGATATTAGGTTATATAAATAAAATTCTGACTCGACTTGACAGTGAACTATGATCTGAAATGTAACAATCTGTGACTCTACTGAAAATAAAAATGCATTTTGTTACAATTACAATTTAACACAATACAACATAATTAAAAGCATTAACTTGTAATTTGTCTGTGACAAACAAAATGTCTGTTGTTGTTAGAAACAACCAGTGAGCCTTTTCTGATCAGCCACCTCTTGGTTAATTTCTGGTTAGACTTTCAAAACTACAACTTCTCGCTAAAGGTGCCATTGATAGAGAAGAGAAACCCACGTCTCTGTGGTTCATGTTATGCACTGTGTAAGCTCTACCACACACTGTTACTGTCTCTCTAAGAGGTTTTGCAGCAACCAACTTAATTATAGACCACGAGAGTTCATTTGAAGCATTTGGACAAATGACTACTTGTATGTACTGTCTTTCTATCGAGGACGGTCTCCACCCGACTGGTGGATAAATAGTGAGAAAAGTTTAAAAATAAAAAAAAGTGAGGACAGGGCTTGAGAGACTTTCATATGTATTTTATGCCTCGATAACTTAAGAAGGAGCAGTGTGGCGGCCTTACAGTGGTGAACTCAAAGTAGTAGAGGCAGCTGTCGGTCAGGATGAACCATCGCCTCTTCCACGTCTTCACTCGGCCTCCTGAGATACAGACACAGCAAAGAAAATGTAGCTTATTAGCTGTGTTATCGGTTGTCAGTGGAGACTATAACAAGAATTCAAAAGTTGTGTCACTGCACAACAAGCTGACCAACATACAAATATTAGCGGTTATTTGAGAGGCGTTGAACTTCCGTGTTTATAAACCCATGACGCTGTGTGGTTTACATGCACACACTTAGCGTATGCTCCAATATTGGGTCATTTTCTTAGTGCTTCCTCTGTACCTTCCTGTTTTTACAACCTTGTTTAGTAGATTTGGTAGATGTCACGCAGCACACAAGAAGCACATTTAAACCTCTCTCATCTGTAGGGCCCGGTTTCATGATATTGCAGCTTAATAGGTTATAGGTAATAAGATTGTGGAATTTTGATGTTTGCATTTCTTTAAAAGCCCAAATTGTTCACTATAAAAATGTATTTTAGAGAGTTGTTTTACCAAGTTTGAGGAGCCAGCCTTCTCTGTCAGGGTTGAAGAAGGTGTGAGTCAGATCATTCCCATCATCTTCTGGGATTTTGAAAGGCTCGTTGCGAATGCTCTCATACAGTTTCTGAGTAGAAAAGAATTGAATAGTTAAAGAAAACATAAAAAAATGTTCCATCTATTGAATGTCTTGTTCCATCTATTGAACATACATGGTGAACAAAAGCCTTAGTGAATGCTTAAAGATGTCAAGATGTTATTAGTTATTACATTCACTCAAACTGAGACACCGCTGTGTGTATGTGTGACTTCGGAGTGAGAGACGATGAATCAGCCGTTTTCAGGGAGAGTGGGACATTTGGTGTGTTTATGTATCTTTAATCCAACACCAGCCCACAGTCTGGGACACTGTTTAACATTACCACCTCCTACAGCCTACTGCTCATTGTCACCTACAGGTGGAAACACTGGCATGAAAACAAATCTGGATGTGGTTGTGTGTGCGTGTTTCTGTTCTAGATGATGTGGTGATCGTGAGACAGTGGTATCATTTTCGGAAGTAAGGAAAGTACTGTGTGGTTCTGCGACTGTTTAATTTTGACACTCATTTTCTGTTTGATTTTAAACTTATTCCCTTTTACTCTATGAAAGTCAAACTAAAAACTTGACCTTGGAAAATGTTAAGAGTAAGAAGTGAAACTGGCATTTTTTTGGGGGGTTTCTAAACCAAACTCTTGAATAATAATCTTCATATTTGGCACCAAGGAGCTATTTGTTTTCTCTGCCACCATATGTGGTTTCTTGGCGGGAGCAGGTGGTGGTGATTGTCTTTATAACACAAGAGGTTATAATACCCCTCTGAGCTGCGCTACGTCTTCAGACTGACCCGAGGCTACAGTGACTCGCTATCGGAAAGAGCCAAGACGGGCCGGGGGAAGCTAGTTAGCATGCTAACTTCAGTAGAAGAAAAGATGTGATATAGACAAGAATTAACATTGGTGTTTCTTTCCACCTCTGGAGACAGCTGTTGGTGAATGAAGTTTGATACTGAATTCATAACGTTTCCTCTAGACTGGTGAGTAAACAGCTGTTAATGCTAACACTGGCTATGTAGCAATAGGAAAACTTACAAATAGCTCCTTTAAATGAAAACCACCTACACTGCATTCAGTAACTCCACCCAAAAAACCTGCACTTGAATAACACAGTAAAATTACCACTTTCTTTGGTGATTTAAAGTCATTTGAGTCATCAAAATCTTTGAAACTGGGCTTTTAGTTATTTCACCACCTAACTGATACTAGTGACTATATGTTACACCATAAAACCATGATGGCTAATATGGGTGTAAGAGTGTAACGATGGTAATATACAGTATTTTTCTTTATGTTAACAAATCGGATGAAATCCGAGTCATAGAGCTTCATCATTTTTCTTTAAAACTTTTAAAACACCTCAATGAGCCACACTGTTGCACTGAGTGACATGGTGATTCATTATGATGAACATGGGCGCTGTTTTCTACTCTCACTCAATCCCACATACACCACCCTGCCGCTATAAATACTCACTAGAGCACTGAATGTGTATTAATTCGCAGCTGAAATTAGTCCCCAACTAGTATTTATTACTATTTACTTCTGTTTGAGTAACATTTGCTACAATTCACAGTGCCCAGCTGATTTAGGGGAATTATTTATACTTTACTTTATACTTTAAAAACAGTGAATCTATATTTTTGTGACTAAGTTTAAATGATTTACAGCTGAAGAATAAATACGCTTGGAGGTGAGTGCCACAGACAGGGAAAGAACTAATACACTGTTGGTTTGGGTCTTTTCATGGATATATGTTGATGGTGTTCTTATTCTATATACATTCTTTATAGACAATTTTTAAATCTTCAGGGTAGTTATTACAAATGTTATTAAAAGGGACATTATTTGTATTTATAGTTTTGTTATTTTTACAGCTACAGATCGTCTTAGTTCCAACTTTAAAAACCCCCAAAATATAGTTGACTATGTATGATGCATTGTGCCGTGATCTGGTTGTATTGTTACACATGTAGGGGGCTAATAATCAAATCTCCAAAGGCAAAAATAGATGAACAATCAACTCCCTGAAGCTGAAATGTCAGCTGTGTTACCATCTGGATTACTGCTTCCTGGTGTCTCTATTTGGACACTGTGATTGGCTGGAGGTTCTCACCGAGAGCAGATCATTGGGTAGATCCTCTCCGTTGTTGATGCCTCTGTTCATGGAGATGAAGCGCTCCAGAGTGGTCTTGTCCTTCACGTTGGGGTTGTGGAGGCTGGTGTTCAGCATGATGATGGCAAAAGACAGGATGTAGCACGTGTCTGGTGTTTTAAAGGAAGATGCAACACACACACAAAAAAATAGGTGGAAGTGAAATATTTATAACTCTATAATGCAGTTCATATAAATATGTAGTAGAGAAAAACTCTGACAAAAGAAGAAATGAAAGTCACAAAGACAAACTCAAGTCAGTCAAACACATCCACTCTTACGCACACACAAACACAAAAACATTTTCTCACACACACGCAGTCCAGAGAGGAGGTGGACACATGCACATTTGTCGAAGCTCACCGGTCGACTGGAAGACATGAGTGTTGCAGTCACAGTAGCGCGTGGCGAAGGCCTCCATCATGCGGTCGATCTTTTGGGCTTCGCCAGGCAAACGGAAACTCCACAGAAACTGCCTGTCACAAACACACCGCCACAAAATAAGACCCCTGTATGACACTGTATACATGTTTACTGAGATGTGTGAACTGTGGCTGCCCCACACGTCTGGAGAGTGAGTGCACAGGAAATGTTATCAATTCAATACTAGATAATTAGAGTGACTTATTATTACATATAAAGTTATGTCATGCAACTCATCAGTTACTATACGAAGGCACAATGTATTTTATTTAATATTTATTTAATTTGAATTTGTTGCTGCGTATTTATTTATTTCACTGTATTTACTTGACAGATATAGTTAGTAGTTGCTTTGTGAAACATAATCAGCTAATAAAAGACTCTCTCTTATATTATCTTATAGTTATGTACTTTTCCTTAAAGGGGTGCTCCAGCTGTTTCGTATTGCACTTCCTTAGAGTTGGAGGACTTGCAAGAGACAGATTAACAAAGCTAAGAATCAACAGCTGCACCATCGGCTCTGTGAGGCTGCAGCAGAGGCAGAGATGTTGCAGCTTTAAATCAATAGTATGTGTTAAGCTTGAGCCCACATTTCCCATAATGAAACCAATATTGTCTTTTCACAGAGAGCCGTCATTTCCAGGCTAACCTCTGTTCTACAAGCTTCAATACGATCTCTGATGTAGCGTTTCTTTCATCAGTCTTTCTGAATAAATAAAGCGTGTTCCTCTGGGTCACTTTCTCTCCCTTTCCACTACAGCAGTTGCTATAAGAAACTCAAACCTTTGTGATTTTAACAAAGTTAAACAACAATTACGTTGTGAGCACAGAAAAAAAAAAACTAAACTAGGGTGAATAAACCTCAAGCGCGGGTATTTACGCTATCCTTTCATCACTGTCCATGAAACCTACAGACGCTGTCATCACAGACATATCTGAACTAACCACGATCCCACGGCTCGCTCGCAGACTCGCCTCTTCTTTCGAGCCGTGACATTTAGCCCAGGAGCGTCTGGGGCTTTGTGGAAAATGGTGTTCGTTGAAGGTCGCTAAATTTCCTAAGCACTGAATAAACAATGATGTTAGATAATTTGTCAAAAAACTGCCACTGATTTTTTTTTTTTTTAGTTATTAGCATATTAGTGGGATTTTGAATGAGGTTTTTCTTACAGCTGGAACGTCTGTTTGGCCCTTTCTCAAACAAACTTCACACCCGCGGTTTGTGATGCAGGATTTCTGTTATTGTAGCCACCAAGATAACCCTGCAGACATCAACAGGATCATTATCTCAGACCTGATAAAACCCCTGCAAACAACATCAAGCAACTCCTCTCCCAGGCCGAGTAGTTCTCCCCATGATGAGTAAACCGATGTTTACGTGTGCTTGTTTTTCGCGTACAGGCCCTTCTACTTGTAATACACGATTTTACAGTGTGGTATTGATATATATTGTATTTCTTTATCTACATGGAAGATGTAAATACTTTTTTTCCCCCCACTGCTCACAACATGCCTGATGTAGCTGCTGACATTTCTGTTGTGGCTGGTGATCTATGCTGAGTAGTAAGTGACTCTCATCTGGATTATGCAATCATGTCATACAAAAGTGGTAAAATGGTTGGTTACATCTCTTTTTGATAAATCTTGTTTGCTGAAAATCTACAAGACATAAAAAAAAAAAAAAAAGAAAAAAAAAGTAAGTTGCGACCATATCATATCATAAAAATGTGCACAAACACCCAAGACAATGTTTTAAAAGCTAGACGTGTGTTTCCTGATAAATGAAAGTCGTAGATGAGACAGGAGGGACAATGAAGAGATCTTACCTGAGGGCCTGGACCAGGTTGAGGTCGGAGAACTCGTGCAGCTCCACAAAGGCCTTCAGGGTCTGGAGGTGGAGCTCCTCCCTGTGGGAAAGAGTGGGGAAGATACATGAAACCAGAGGAAAGTGTTCACCTTGTTGGAACCTGCCTTTACAATCCCTCTGTTCCCCTTTCTTCTTCCTTCACCCCCCCATTCTTCCTTACATGAGTATCCTCTTTTCCTCTCATAGGATTAGAGGGTTAGGCTTTTCCTCTTCCCCTCTTCCCCCTCTCTTATCTACCTTGTATTTCTTCCTGCTTCCTACCCTCCTCTCTCCTCTTCCTCACCTTTCTCCAAGAAACTCTCCAATTCCCGTCTTGTTGAGTCCCTCCTCTTTGTAGAGGAACTCGGCGATGGAATGAGCGCCTCCATCCAGCAGCTTGTTCTCCACCAAGTAATTGATGCCCTGCACACGCAAACATGCAAACAAAGCAGACTGTTGCTTAGCATTTGCCAGTTCATGGTATAGTGCTCGAGACACACACTTCCTACTGTGCTGCAACTAAATGTGTCAAGTTTCATAATGATCTCATCTATGGTTGGTAAAACTGAGAGATTTCGCTGTTTCTGTAATCCCAATTCCTTAAAACCAATCTCTCTTCCTCTTTCTCCTCTGCCTGGGAGGGGGTGGCTGGGGGCTGGAGGGGAAAAGGAAACGGTGATTCAAATAGATTTGCTCTGAAAAAAATTTAAAAAAAGAAAAGATATATCCTACTGCAGGAACAACTAATGCAACACCACCTCTCTACCACACCTCTTTTGCATACTTTAACATGCTTGCATTAGTATCAGCAAGACATCAAACAGAAGAAAAAAACATTAATTAACCTCCAAACTAAAGTTCAGGTACTCTTAAACACCATCTGCAGCTCAGAGTGGACTTCTTTTTCCAGTAAGCCAAACCGATAATGCTTTTTTTGAAACTTTGTATTCGTTGTTGCAAGCATTTGCGTTTCACACAGTGACAAGCTTGACCTGCCACTGAAACCACTGAAACTTTGCTATGGGCCTGTGACGGTGTCACTTCGCGAAGTCACAGGAGCTCCAGTGTGGTTGAGAGGGAGGAAGTCCACACAGCGACATGCAAGAGAGCTGCTCGCTAAAGCTGCTCAGTCGAAGATCAGAGGCACTCCTTGATAAACTTTTTAAGAATCGCAAGAAGTCATTTCTTGCCAAATATTATTATATTATATTATATTATAATATGACAGACGTGTGCACACACTCCTGAGCTCACCTTTTTGGGGTCCATGTTGAATTTCTTCTTCCCCTTTGAGGAGTGTTTGTCCTTCTCCATCGTCTTGCTGCAGGAAAAGTAACATTGAAGAAAGACAAATGAGCATTCATGAAGAGTTGTAAAATAAATAAATGATGCAGTTTATTAGGTACATCTAGCTAAAACTAATGCTGTACTAAATGCTGATTGGTTCAACTGTATGATCATTGTGGAGGCTGCAGTGTGTGGTGCTGTTGAACAGTGCTGCATTATACAGAGAGGTGTGTTATTTCCTCATTGATATAAATGGGGCAGATGAAATTAAAGAAGCATCTGTCTGTATGAGTCAAACTGCTGCCTCCAGAATGGTCACACAGTTGAATCAGCACCTCTCTGAAACAGTTTCAACAAGAACTGAACATTATAACCTTCAGGAAGGGAGCATTTACTGTAGGACTGTTGTCTTGGACTGTATTGGTTTTGGCTGGGTGTACCTAATAAAGTGGTATAAAGTGTATATTCAGAGGCAGACTTCTCTTAACAACACAAGTTATGTTGTTGGTATTAAAAAAGGGTCTTAACTCTAATTATAATCATTTTACACCATCAATAGTACCCACACAAATTTGGAGGAAAATAAACCTTAAATCTTAAATCGACAGCCCCCTTTTCAAGTTAGCATCTGTACCAGGAACCTGAGCCAGTGCATCTTTAATGAAAAGCTGGAACACGATGCTGAGGATTTTAAGTCCATATTCTTGGGGAAATTGCTCACATAAAACAACAACCTCACCTCCCACAAGGTTAAGACTCATGGGAGCAGACGCTAACACTGTGGTAGTTGAAAGTTGTTGAAAAGCCACAATTATGTGGCTTTAATGAATCACAAAGGAGCATTTTGGTGGATGTTCAAAAAAAAAAAAAGAAAAAAAAGGAGTTCTATAAAAAAAAAAAAAATACTACACTGGTTTGTAAGGTAGGTGTTTCAACAGGTGCAGGGTTTCCCCAGAATAAACTCACTTTTCCTCAAAGCTGAGTATTTCCGCCATTACGTTGTCTATCTGCATCTTCAGCTTCTGGACAGGGCAGAATGAAAGAAAAACATTTGTTTCCTCAGTATTAAAAGCAGGACAAGTCACTTAAATTAAAAGACTGACAGAAAAGGCAGATGTCTGACTACCATACTCGCGTTAATGTGTGTTACCTGGATATCATCCAGAAGGTCTTCCTTATACGTCTTAATGCTCTCAATCTCCATCTTCTCATCTGCTGTAAAATCTGAGGAAACTGATCAAAAATCAGAACAAAAAAACGTTACACTGATTCTCAGAAACTCAGGTTTCACTCACAATAAAGATTCAGTTTTTCACATTTAATAATAAGCCACACAACTTTCTTCAAATCCGTTGACATCCATTGCAGGCTTTCCTTTTGAAAGGATTACACTTTGTGAACCAAAGAAAATGTTTGGTTTACAGAGTCAAGTCCATGTCAGTCAGTATGATATCCACTTTTGAATGATTTGAATAAAAATCTGCATGCGGTATCAGTGTATTGTACATTTACAGATAACCGCGGCGCAGGGGAAGAGAGGTTTCTCTGGAAAATATGTGATACAGGTGTTGTGGTTTTTTGCATTTCTTGAAAAACACACATTTAGACATGAGCATGCAAACACATGGATCTATATTCAGACTAACAGCTAAACAGGCTCCTGCCATGTCGCCAGTCTGTCAACCACCGTCACTCCCCACTCCCAATAAGAGGGAAGCTGACAGACGCACAGATGTGATGATGAAACAGTGACACAGTCATAATAAGAAATCACCATCATGACTGGTAAATTGGTTTTGATAGAAGGTTGCTAGGTTATCTCCACAACAGATAACATCTCCATCAACCGCCACCAATGCTTGGTTCTGAGTGACAACCTGCACTTGGTTTCTATATCAACAATCCCATATGGTCACTGCATCACAGGTGTTATTGTCCCAGTGAACCAGAGTTCCCTGAACTTGATACTGTAATAGTAATAGTCAGAGGCCATTTTTAGATTTTAGATTTTCATTAGATTTCTTGCTTGAGGGACCTGAAGAGGTGAAAGTATCTCGTACTTCACAAAAAAAGTAGGAAAAAACTCAGAAAAAATGCTGATTTTTTTTTCCCGTATACTTTTTGTCAAAGGGTGACCATTCAGTTTTATCTCGGGGGTCCCAACCCTCATGCTCCTGGATACTTTGCTATGCGCAATGCTAGCTTTTTATATTATTTTATAAAAGTCATGTTATCATTGCTTGTAATGATTAGAAAATATTAGAGAATACTCCTGGTCTGATGCACTTGTTTCCTGAAACAGCAGCTTGGAGTAATGACAATAAATCATCCATCCATCCATCCATCCGTACATCCATCCATCCGTACATCCATCCATCCACAAGCTGCAAGTTTACTTATTGTTTCCATGCTTGACTTTCCAGTAGCATCAGATTTGAACGCACAACTGCTCCACAGTCAACTCTTAACGCACTGCTGTTACAGCATCTCACAAGCACTTTGACTTCTGTGATTGGCTTAAGAACTATTGCACAAAGGAACACCATACCCTTAGGTTGTTTTCTGCAGAGTACCCTGTCTGCAAATTGCTTACTTATAACTGTTGTCCTACTACTTTCTACAAGCATAGGCTAGTCAGCTGAGGCTGTTGCATGTGAGGAAGGAGCTTTGGGTAAAGTTAGAAAGCTGCTTTGAATTTCAGCCAGCAGAGGTTCTCACGAGACAAAAACAGAAGTAATATAAATGTACATGTATCTCTGAGCCACGCAGGTGATGTCACGTTTAAGAACAGCTAGAACTGATTGTTACACTTAGCTCATAAAGTTAGAGACACCGACATGTAAGTAAAAGTTTGCAGTTTCTTTCTGCACTGACAAACAAACCTTGCAAAAAAATAAAGTTAACAAAACGGTTACACTTTGTGTAGAGATCTGTGAGCTGTCTGGTGTTGATGATGTGACCACAGGACTTCCACTTCCCCACCCTTCCTTTACATCTCTCTTGTGCAACAAGCTGATGTCATAAATCATCAAACTCCTCATTTTACATCATTTAGACTTTTAGTTGAAATCTATAAAAAAAAAGCCTGTGGACCAAAAGTTACTTGATAGTTTGACTTTTAATAATGGATGGATGGAAACCTCTATTTATATATAATTATCGGTGATGTGCATAATGGTGATATGAGTTTGAATGTCTCTTCCCTATTTCAGCGCTGTGTGCCCAGTTCATTATTTCACCACAAGCTGCAGATGGTGATAAGGGTCTACCAAGAACTGTGCACCAGTGACCTAAATAACTAAACACCAGCTGCTCTGACAGTGCACTGACAGGTCACACCAGAAAGAATGAAGCTAATTCTTAATTTCACAGCTTATATCACAGCTGTTTCTAAATTAGAAAGCTGACATTGTGAGCAGATAGAAGCTGGGGACACTATATAGGGATAAATAATAACAGGATAGTTTGATAACTCATCAAAAGTTGGAATACATTAAAAACAATATAATCATATTTCATAAAACAATCTCTTACTCCTCAACTTAAAATGTCAAACAACATGTATTACACAAGTAGAAAACAAAGTGCCAACAAATGTTTTAAAGTCTTTGTGGAGATTTAAAATTAAAATTAAAATATGAGGAGCAGCAATCAAAAGACAGAAAGAAAGCAGGTCTTACCCATTTGGAAATCAGTCATTTATATCCAATAAAAAAAAAAGAAATAGGCACAATATGAACACAGTTAGAAACAACTAAGTTGGAGGTGTCAAGATATGCAGGCTGCTCGGCACATAGTGCAGTGTCACTTGAATGAAGTAGATGTTCTCTTTTAACCCCACCTCTTCCCCATCCATCACTTTGTCAAGCTGAAATTTTCATGAAGCCAGAATGAATGACAAAGTAGACCCTCCTTCAAAATAAAACTGTTATTTGATGATTTATTAAGTGAAGTGAAGCAATCAAGGGGAGGTAAGTTGTGGTGTTTTTTAAAAAAAAAAATCTAGTCTCACAGTAACAGCAGAAGAAACAAGAGAAGTGGTCTAAAGCAGTCTAGGAAAGCTCAGGTAACAAAATAATACAGGCTTTTAATTTGCTTCTTTTTTTTTTTTTGCATTGACAATAGTTTCTCTGGATCTGAGGTGTCTTGAAACACTGGTAGCACATCCTCTGTTGTTATGAGGTAGAAACGAGAAACTATGAGTGGAAGTGACAGGGAGTGTTTTGAAATTTGCTCGGATGATGAATCTTGGTTGCAAAACACAGCATGGGCCAGGACGTGAGTTTTGACAGCCCAGAATCGCATCACATGGTGAGGTAAGCATTGATCCCCTGATACCTATCAGCCCTGCTGTTGATTCTGACAGGAATATCAACCATTTGGTGTTCTTTGATAAAATTTTAACTGCAAATTATACACTTTTATTTTGAAGGTGGGACCACCTTCCTTCTTGACTTGTCATCTGAAAAAGTTTGATCAAAGCAGAAGTCATGAAGGGTCAACATGGGTGGTTCTGCACGCAGCATCCTGAACAGTATCTTTTGTTGTTGAAATTCATCTGGAACATTTGCTAAATGACTAAAATATAAATACAACTTCATCAAAAAATGGATATAAGTAATCTTGCAATGCATTTCGGAAACGATGAGCAAGTCACTGCAGGAACATTTTCATATTACTGAAGGATTTGGAAAAACAACAGCATAAAGTCATTTTAATTCACTCAGCAGCACAGACATAATCACAACTGGAATGAGGATATTTCAGGAGTTTCTCATGGTTGATCTAATGAATGCATCAGCTGTTTGCCTCAAAACTAAAATATTTTCCCTCTTAAGAAAGATTAAAAACTGATGAAAATTAGATGCAAACCTGAATAGGTTTAATAGTTGAACAAACAGCTCCTCTGCTGTGCACAGTCAAAGTTTTGGACATGATAATTAATGACAGAAATGATGCTGAAGTGCCATCTAGTGGTAGAAAAAGAATATTACAGTTATTGAAGAAAATGACTACGAGTGTCTGAAGATGTGTTTGTGTGCTGTAGTGTATGTTACATTACTTACATATCACTTTCACAAATTAAACTTAAACTACTTGAGCATGATCCAGAAAAAGCTTACAATGCACTCCTGGCTATACTGAAATTTCATGTTAAAAAATTCAGAGGGAAGCAAAAATATGTGGATAAACCATGGATTACTGCAGGATACATGTAAGAACAAACTCTACAGAAAATACCCAAAATGTAGAATGTAGAACATGAAATAAAAATGAATATAAGACATAAAAAAAACAATTAATAAGCATTATGAGGTTCAGTAAAAAGGGATATCATTGGGGGAAAATTGAAGTAATGTTCAGGAAACATTGAAAAAGCTCAACAACATAATCAAATAAGGTATTGGAGGAGCAGGTTACTCAAGTTATATTGTTAAAAAACAAAATACTTCGTAAAAGTTGGAAAACAACAGCTCTGATAAAAATGCTCATTCAGTGGAGTTCATGAAAATGAACAACTAATTGATTATGTTATTGTTAAATCATTGAGAAATGACTGACAGTTATGAGCCGTCAAGTTTTGTGTATCTGTTTCTGTCTTGTACTGTTGTGTTTGTATAAAAAACTTACACCGTCTTTGTTTGGATTCGCGGATGTATTGTTAAAGCCAGGATTATGCTTCGTTGAGGGTTAAGGGTTAGGCACAAGAAGCTCAGGCTTCAGCCTACACCTTTTTTTTTTGGTCAGAGAATAAAAGTTTTGATATTGATTTATTTTTGATATACTGACGTGATGTTACTTAATCACTTGCATAACTGTATGGAGAATCTGTCGCCCAGAAATACTGAAATAATAAATAAATAAATGAATAAATACAAAAAACTAAACTACAAACATGTCTGTGTGTTGTGTAATAGTAGTAGTGGACTTTTTATTTAAATCACTTTACAAAATGAAATTAAACTTAAAATGACATAATATTAACTTAAGTTAAACTTAACTCTTAGATAGAGTTGTGTGTAAAACTGTTTTATTTCTCTGAATTTCCATCTATTTCTATCACTCTATAAATTGAAATTAAACTTAAATTAACTAAACAAACATGCATGTGAATTTATGTGGTTCTCTGAGTGTACGTGTGTGTGTGTGTGTGTGTGTGTGTGTGTTTTGTCAGCGTGTGCATGTGCGTGTGTGTGTATACACATGCATGAATGCAAAAGGAGGAAGTTTTAAATAAAGCCCAGTGTTATTGTTACTGCACCACCTTCCCCCTTTCAAAACCCCTCATGGACATTTCACAGCTTTTATCTGTTGCAACAGAGACTTCTTCCGCCTCATTTATCCTGCATTTTACACCATTTGTACACTTGTTTGCACAAGTTCTGTTGTTTAGAAGTAGCGAGCACACAACAAAACAGGAAGGAGAGATGTGTGCAAAAATAAAGGAAGAGAGACTGAGAAAGAAAAAGAGGCAGCCGAAGGGAGGGAAGTGAGGGGAGGTGTGTAACAATTTCCTGTAGTTGCATGCTGATCTGCGCCTCTGCACCTTCCTCTCTGAGTCTGTTTCTGTCAGGGTGAAGAACGCAGACGAAGCAGAGCGGAACAGGATGCAGGCTATCAAATGTGTGGTCGTGGGAGATGGGTACGCCATTATTTTTACTTTACCTACATTGTTATAACTTAAGCTGCCTTCAAGTATTGAATCAAGAAGTGTTAACTGGGCTGATGCATGATGAGGGGGGTGCTTTGGCCCCAGGCTCTGAATTTAGGGCTATTTTAATAGAAATGTCAACGGTTTTCACATGGCCCAATCAGCCTTGAGTGACAGTTTGATCAATTTCCGCAGTGATGTGGCTGTGTTCAGTCAAAAACTTGAGGCTACTGCACTCTTAAACTTGCTGAAGAACACAGTCTGTCCAGTAATACGTGTAAACCTTTAGGCGTGTGTTTGACAGCGCTGAGCCACAATGAGGGTGCTGGATGAATAGTGCAGGCCACAACATGCAGGAAAATGCTGTAAATGCTGTAAGATTACAGACTAAAATCCAACAAATGCCAAAGACAGTGGCTCATGAGGCGCAGAAAAGAAAAGATTAGACAAGAAATGACACATAGAAGCTCTACTTAGTTGAAGTTGGACGTTATTGCTCTCTTCGGTATTAGAAAAATTGGTGAAATTCCTCAGTCTAACGGTTAAAATACACTCTGAGAACAAGTTCGGACAAGGTGTCGTCTCCCACATCAGGAAAAATAACTTCTACAGAGTTTTTGTACTTGAAGGTGGGGCAAAAGGGGCCGGTTGTCATGATGGGGGAAATTTTAAAGTGGAAGTGCTGTAGTTGTAGCTGCTAGAGATCAATAAACAGTTTATTGTGTGTTTATAACATTTACAGGTTGCATACAGGAACTGCTGCTGCAGTCCCCTTGCTTACTTCCTGTTGTTTGCTGAATGTGACACTGTGATTTAAAATTTATAGAGTAGGTAGGGTAAGCAGGGAGAGTGAAGTCTGTCATCACTTAGGAAGTAAAGACATTTACTTTAGCGCTCTTAATTTAAAATAAAACAGTGTTTATGGCACTAAAATGCAGACTTAAAGCTTTTATTTGCAGGTGAACTTTCCTCTCACGAATGCATCAGTTGTTTCCAAAAAAAATCACATTTATTTCCATTCAAGTGACAAAACCCTCGAGCGGCCATAGAAATTAAAGCTTTTGTCCGTTTGGAGCGAAGGGGGAGTCGACAAAACATGGTAATTAGACTGCTGTTTGTTTCCTGGTAACTACCAACAGTTAGCTTAGGTTTTGCTTAATCATGACTCTGGTCATTCCCCAAACCATAACCAAGTGTTTGTCATTGTAACCATGATGAGGAAGGTGTTGTAACTTTATCGAAGTTGTAACATCCCCACCACGCTTTCCTTTTTTTACCTAACCTAGTACATTTTGTGCTGAAATCTAAAAAAAAAAAAAAAAATCGTGGTCTACGATCAAAAAAGGTTTAATTTTGAAATAACAGTGATGTCTTGCAGCGTCAGATCAGAAAAAGTTTTTATGTGTCATCCTGGAGAGCACGTACCAACGCCTACTTTGTTGATTGATTTGGAGAGCAAAGCCAAAAACAAGTGAAAATGTGTGGACTGCTCTGTATCTTGGCTTCCAATGGGTTTGTGTTAATTCTGTTCATGAAGTTTACGAGTTGTGACGTACCCTGAGGCTTTTTTAAAATGACACTGGCTCAGGAAATTACATTAATTTCTTTATGTGTTTTATAAAATGAATACTGATACGAGGTTAGAAAGTTGTACACGTAAATTAAAACCACATGAATGACAAGCTCAGCTTCTTATTTTGAAAACACAACCTCATGGGTTCTGTTTAATCACAGTCTGTCTTGGCAGCTGACCAGAACGTGAACCAAATTTCAGTCCCACTCCTCCCATTTTTTTTTTGTTTGTTTGACCACATCACCAACACATTTTCAAGCTGTGCAGGTCAGCAGTGAACAGTGGAGGACGTAATGTGAGGAATGAGAGGAAACGAATTTGCAAATTATAGCCACAGTGGAAAGAGTCTTTACACATAGTCCTTACAACACTCCTGAGAGAGTATGCGTGTTGGCCTTATCAGAGCTGAGAAGCTGTCAGTTGAAGTTGCTGGTGGTGGTATGAGTAATTTCTGAATGACTCTGGTAGGTGCCGATGTGGCACATTGTGCTGCAGCCCCTGCATACAACCTTGTGTAGCAGCAGCTTGGCCTTTCTACTGCTGAGTTTGGGGCTCTACCACTGTCACACAAGGTGAAGCCTTGTGGAGAGAATAGCTACAGTCTTTTACAAGAAACACAGTGGCTGTACTAATTCTTCTGTCTATACATGTGACTGAACCAGGTGTGAAAAAGAGATAAAAAGCATCTATTAAAAGACAGAAAAGAGGAAGTTGTTCTCAAGTTGAGTGGAAGTCTGTGTAAATACAAGCCAACGTGCTGCTGTTATATGACCTTGATATATAGGCCATCCATGTTGAATGGCCTATAACAGTTCAAGGGACATAAGGAAAAAAAAATCACTGTCTTAATATATAATAATAATAATAATAATAATAATAATAATAATAATAGTAATAGTAATAATATATATATATATATAAAATCTATAACGAACAGGGGACTTTTATGCTGTCCATCTAAACATTGTTTAAAACTTTACAGTATATAAATTCTAGTGTAGGGCCTACAGATTCTCGAAAACAACAAATATTGCAGTATAAATATGTATAAAATGATTTTTACATTAACTTTTGGATTTTTACGATACATTTTCTTGAAAGAGATAATTTTCACTAAACACCACTTGTGTGATCTTTGAAGCCTAAATACAATCACTGGAAGTAAAAAGCTAATGTAACAAACTACACCGCGGTCACATGACGTCAACAACAAATTGTAATTTGATTTATATGTCAGAGTAGAATGATGTTATTTTAACATAAAGTACTATTTTACCATGCCAACGTTTAAATCACCAAAATTTCACAGCAAAATGAATTAATTCTAAATGAACTGCTGCGATCAGTGCTTTCACTTAAGGGGTGAAAAGTTTTCACTTTGAGTTTGGAAAACTATGGATTATAAACTGTTCCGCAAGAGAGGAATGATTTGTAGACAGTTAGGACACAGAAGCCAAAAGCAGAAACACATCTTTTGACTAAACTGTGTGAGCATCTTGTCCTGTTAGCGACCATGTTAATAGACTTGCTAACTAACTGCTAGCTTAGACAGCTTTTGAAGTGATGAATCCAGCAAATAGTCTGTTTGGAGAGCTATTGTGACTGACTAGTACTAGCATGCTTCTGGCAGGCTAGCGTGTTTGTGATTAGCTTGCTAGCTACAGTATTTCACCAACTAGCTCTGTGAAGTAGCCACCATGTACAGAGACTGAAATAGCAAAAGGTCTAATACGTAAATCATAACAAACATAAACCTAAGCAAGAGGAAAATATGAGCCAATTACCCCTTTGGGACATTAAAGCTTTACTCTACTTTCATATAAACATTATTAGCTAAATGACACCTCTTTGCTTCCATGTGGTTAAAGCTTATACTGTTTGGCCTGAACCAAGGGGAGGAATACGGGGGTGTCTCAAACACAGATTGAAGAAATTAGGGAAAGTACGTCTATGTGATGGTTAAGAGAGCCAAACCGACAGGCTAACATGGACAAAGATGGAAATGAAGAGAAAAGATAGAAAGAATCAGCGGAAGACAGAAAGCAAAAAGAGAGAATAAGAGTGAAGAGGGGACAGAGATAGAACGGGAATGAGTCTCCTTTGAAGAGTTTGCCTAACTAAAACCAGATAAGGTTGGATGGTGTCAGAAAGGGACAGAAAAGTTGATGGAAGACCAGATTAAGAGCAAACAGACAGAGATCAGACGTGGACGTTTTTTTTTTTTTGTTTTTTTTCTTGATAGCTCACTCTGGCTGGTTCCTGTTTTCAGCACTAACTGAGGCTTCTGAAACAGATCAGTTCCTTTCTGACTCACACACAACCACAAAACACATACACACACTTCTATGTCTATACTTATGAGAGCCTTCACTGACAAAACACACTCTTTAAACAATAACGTTAACTCACACAACTACATGCCTAACCCCAACCTTTACATTTCACCTAAACCTTATTCTAACTGTAACTGCCAAGTCTGGATCCTCAAATAACCTTTTGGAGAAGTGATGACTTGACATAATATCATCAAACTCAACCTCTAAAACTCAAACCGGCCCACATAAAGATAGAAGTACTCAAACACATACAGCTTTTCTAAGCTGTCAGCTGAGCTGCTCATAACTATTATTGAGTCATCTCCTTCCTCAGCCATCTTAAAAATGCAGACTTTTTTTTTTTTTCACCCTAGAACAGTTCTTAATATGGTTCTTTTTAAGAGAAAATATTTAGATTTTTATGATTATTTTGACTTTAGCTAACAAAATTGTACTCATTTAGTAAATATAAGCATTTGTCGACTTCTCTTTAAAAGGTCAGTCCACCAAAATCACAAAAATATATGTTTTCTCAGTTAACGCTAGTGGTATCTAGCTAAAAGAAAATCCTCCACTGGGTTTAGGTGATGATTTTGTCGCCTAACACAAAAGGGAATTCATTTTTTGTAGCCAAAGCGGTGTCTGAAATTACTCCCACTTTTACTATTCTCCACATAACAGACACTCAAAAGTTAAATAGTGAACAGTATATGAAGATTTTGGACAATCATCAATCATCATCATGATTTTGTGCCACTAACAGATGTATTGTCCCTGTGATTTTCACATCTATCAAAGGTGAAGTGTTTTGAATTTTTGAGGGAAATATGTTGTTTTACACTTTTTACACTAAATTTACACTGACAATAGCCAAAGAATTCAAAAGTCATTACTCTATTGTATTTTACTTTGAAAATTATTTAGAAAAAAATTCAATTGTCACATTATTTTTCAAAATCAGTGAAAACTGTCTAAAGCCTTTTCAATGTTGCACAACAAACTAAATTCCATTCACTTCCACTGCCTGGTTTTGGCAGCAGAAGTTGTCTGTGGCAGATATTTTATTTTCAATAAGCTTTAGAAAATGACACTATGTGCACGGCTGAGTATGCAAAAAGGGTCAGTGGGGGTTTTTTTGTGTTTTTGATTTGGGTGAACTGACAAGAGAAATTGAGTCATTTCATGAAAAATGAACTCAGGTGACACTTGCATATTACCCTGTGATTTTAGTACCTACCTACTTTGGTACTCAACTTGTGTGTTAAACCTGATGCCACATGGTGTAATATCAGGTTAAGTATACCTTGTTCCTATTTATTGTAGATGTGAAACTAAAAAATCCTTTATTAATGTATGGATACGCCAACGCGTTTCGACTCACAGTCTTCATCAGGGCATGAAAACGCATTGGCGCATCCATATATTGATAAAGGATTTTTAGTTTCACATCTACAATTGGAGTGCCCCGGATATTTTTTTCTGACTGCCATTGTACAGTTTCCACTCTTACAAGACTTATTACACTGGACAGTTGTTTTTTTCACGGTCTTATTGATGATGGTATCAATAACACCTGTGACTCTGAACAGACTGTAAATATTTTTATGCCTCTTTTCATTGCATTATACATTTGCTATAAGTAAAGCGCCTGAGAACTTGGTTTCTCATCTTTAGCAATAGTTTAACAAAATAATCTAAATCTAAAATCTTACTGTCCACTGTAGCTTCATCTGGAGCTTTCAACTGCATTTGATGATCCTCATCAGTGGATGAAGTTTGTTTTTCTTTTGGCATAAAAATTACAAGTGAGAACAACTAAAGACATATAAGACCACCTGTTATCATGTGACCAAAGTTTCTATACTAACATAACACGATATCCGCTGAACCATCCCCCTGACAACTGCGCTAACTCCATCCACTGATGAGATGCAGTAAATGAACCTCAGGGCCTTTATAAGTAGATGGTGGTGAACTAGTGATTGTGATTGTGCGTGATTAGCTGATGGGTTCCTTGCAAATTGGGCACAATCTGGATTTGCTTGGGCATGCCTGCATACAGCCACTCTGTGAGCAAAAGGAGTAAGATTTACCTGAAACTTTGAGACCATACCAGAGGCAAAGAAGCTGTTCATTATATTACTATATACAGAAGACCTGAGCCTAAATATCATCCTTACAGACAAGGCTAAGTTGGAACATTTGGGGATTTTGGGTACCTGACCTTCAGATCCCCCAGTTTCAAGATGGGCTTTCGCCCTCCTGAAGAACTGCTGTTTGTTTAAAGAGCAGCGAGGGTGAAGCAGCTCCTTGCACCTTGCAACCAATCAGATTTATCCAGGATGTGGATCAGTGTCCTGATGAAGACGGGTCACGAGTTCTGGTGTTGTTGTTGAAATGCTGACGGCAAAGCTCTTGAACTAAATAAGAACAAGGCTAGTTGATACTTGTTTGATCATCTCCTGCGTGCAGCCGTACACTTCCCTCACAGTGGATGTTGAGACAAGCTGTTCATTGTAATGAACATGTTACTGGGTCCCACGTCTCAATTTAAAAAATGCTATATTAGCACTAAAACTGTGTCACCGTGTGGGTGACAGTGAAACAAATTACTTTCTCGTTGTAAAGCTGGCAGTGGCATTTTAAAGCTGAGGTGTGACTGATGTCTGTCAGTGTATGTCTTACATCATTTCCTGTTAGCACAAGATGGAAAGCAAAGAACACTTACTCAAAAAGAAGCCCACTGTGAACATTAGTATGTAGTACATATGTAGAGCGTAGTGGGACAAAACCTATGTGTCTTGATAAAGCCCCACCCACCTATAATCTTTCTCTCACTTCCAGTTCCACACTGTTATTGTCTTTTCATAATGTCTCTCTCTCTCTCTCTCTCTCTCTCTCTCTCTCTCTCTCTATGTGTTTTTACTTGTGTGATTTAGAGCTGTGGGAAAGACATGTCTTCTCATCAGCTACACAACCAATGCCTTCCCTGGGGAGTACATTCCTACTGTGTGAGTATGGTGCACACAAACACATTCCCTTTCTCTCTCTCTCTCTCTCTCTCTCTCTGTATATATATATATATGTATATATATATATATATATAAAAAGAGAGATATATGAAAAATATGACGGAAATGAAAGAACAAGCAAACAAACATGTAGCTGCACATTTACAATTTACCATTATGCATTGCAATATGCCAACTTTCTGCCTGAATGTTCACACATTAGAGTTTCGGTACGACATTACACATACACACACACACACACACACACACACACACACACACAAACACATACTGTAGCAGTACATGTGCACGTGTCTGATGGTGTTAATGCTGACAGGTTCAGGCTAGCAGCAGCCTACAGGTTATGAAAACACATTTCTTTCTAAAAGCTTGCCAGAGCAAAACTCAACAGGTACAGAAAATTGAGAAGAAGAGAGTAAATGATTAACGCTCTCCTCCTCTTCAACAATTGATGTTGCTGTGCCCACCGACTTTATAATGTAATGTTTCCTTTAGTCTTTATCAGGGAATATATAGGAATATAACTAGAAGTCAGCCTTTAAAGTAATTGATATGTAATCAGTAAAATCTTAATATCATCTGTAAACCAGATTGGATAATGTTACAGAGAAGAACAATCAGGGATGGTGTCGTCTCTCTGATGCTTTTTAAAAGCCTAAAACAGTTGTTGTTTTTTACTAACTGAAGGTATGAGATGCAAATACATGACAATGTTACAGGACGCTGCTAAAAAAAATAGTGTGTGTTCATCAAAGTTGCATAAGAGAAAAGTGACGTAATCAATAAGGCGACCCGGGTTGGAAGAGTCTGTACCTGCAGTCACTGCTCTTTACAGGAAGTTAGGAAAGTAACACACAGAGCTCATAAATGAGACTGCAGTGTTTCAGTGTGACCACACGGGGGCAGTGCTGCTTAAACGTTATAATCTACAGCATTGTAGTGGTTTCCTGAAACACTGGTGTTTTAACAGGGGAAGGTGTCTAACTGTTCTCAATGTGAAGGTAAGAAATGGTCAGTTTTTAATAAGTTGTGTTTTCTCTCCTTTCCAATAAATGTCTCATCATGAGACTCTACCTTGGCACAAATGACTCACCAACTGATTGACTGATTGATCGCTGACCTTCTTACTCCTCGCAGATTTGACAACTACTCAGCTAATGTGATGGTCGACAGCAAGCCAGTCAACCTGGGCCTTTGGGATACAGCTGGACAGGAAGACTACGACAGGCTCCGCCCACTCTCCTACCCACAGACGGTATACTATCACTAACATGAAGGAAAAATTGATAAAATAAAATACACTTTGTGTCCCACTGGGTTTCACAGTGGGAGTCAAGAGCGTTTCAGATCTATATATACAACACTGCAGAGTGATCGTGCTACATCTCATTAAATTAGACGACGGGAACAGAAAAGGGAAGAAAGATGTTTCTGAGGAAGCTGATTAATGTGGGAAAACACGTAATATGTAGATATAAATTCCTACAAATGCTGATGACTTTATAGTGTTAGACTTGACTGTGATAAAGTAAACATTTTAGTGTCAGAATCAGTAGTATTGTATAGTAGTAGCAGTAGTATAGTATCAGAATACACATATAAAACCTTTGTTATTGTGACTGGCTTATTATTTCAATATCCAACATTATAGAGGCTGTTTAGTGTGAGAAGTTCCTGCATGAGACCGAAGGAGAAAAGAGAATTTTAGCTTGATGAGTATTTAATTTGAAAAATGGAGTTAATTCTGTAATTTAGTGACACATGGCTCATTTACTTGATTTAACCAGAGCTTTCAGCTCCCACTTGTGGCCTTCATCGGCACTGTTTTGCTCAGTTGTCGTGGAGATGGTTTATTTGTTATTCTGTGACCAAAGTATGGAATCATGGTCACGTAATAACAGACATAACCACATAAGAAGTGGCTGAAAGTGCAGGGAAAACCAAGTAAGCGCATGTTGGTATAAGATTTTATTTTGGTCGAATCAGCCTGAATATTTTGGCCCATTTTAAATCAAATACTTGTTTCAACAAAATCACACACAAGTAGAGCAAAGTGGACATCTCCAAGAGTTACTTAATATATATTTTCTATTTGCTATATATCCTTGCAGACATAGTGACTGAGCTGGTGTGGTACAATCTATTTAATCTTTCCCTCTTCTCATTGTTTATCTTCATCCAGGATGTTTTCCTGATCTGTTTCTCCCTGGTGAGCCCAGCGTCCTACGAGAACGTCAGAGCTAAGGTGAGTCTCGTCTCTGAAGGTACATTATTGTTTTTTAATGTCACTGGAATCAATAGCCCCCACTTATATACTGTATATTTCCCTTTATTAAATAAAGTGGCTGAATGACAAGAAGAGCAAGAAACAATCAACATGGCAGATATTGTTCCTGCGTCACCATCACCACATCTATTAAGTGTCTATAGAGAGATGCACAATTTATTATATTCTATTTTTAATTTGTTATACCATGGGTATATTATAGGTAAATTTACTTCACAGGTATGGTTACTGTTTGATAGAAGTGCTCCTTTAAAATAACTGATTTCAATTTTCTTTTGGAGCCCAGAAGCTAATAACCTGCCTCCTAGTTGCATCTTATTAAATTACTTGTGTCACTGTCTCCAGAACCTCAGGTAATTTTCAGGCTCCAGTGATAGATTATTCAAACACTGTATTGACTCTCTTTTATTTATCTTTCACCACAGTAACATGGAACTGACGTGATGCTAAAAACAAGTGGTTCTTAGTAAAATGTTGGCATGGAGGGAAATTAAAAAGGAAGCCCAGGTGACGAAAAGGTAGAGAAACTTCTATAGTGGAAAGAGGGCTAACGTTATACATTTACACCCAGAAAACAAAGCTGTATTTGACCTAAAGCACAACAAATTATCACATTACCTGAATGTATGTTAAGATAATGAAACTTTAATTTATTTTGCACGTGTGGTCACGACTACAATCAGTTAAAAAAATACTGATTGGTTATGATCATTTTAATTTTTGAGATTTTTGTCCGAGGCCAAACCACTTATGATTCTCAACCTTTTAGCCCTGGTCTGACTTCACATTCCTTCCTTCATCAGTTTCAGAAAGCTCGTTAGTTTTTGTGTGTAGAAGTTAACAACTATTGACGGCAAGGCTCCCGAGCAGCTGAATGTCGAGCAAATCAAAGCATAATGACGCAGTGGAGAATAGATTGACCAGCGTCCTGTTCACTCAACGTCCATCCATCACTAATCAGACATTATTCAATCTGTGCTACATTACGAGACGCACAATCAACTGGAGACAAAGAGCAGGAAGATTCGTGTAGTGCTCAACAACCGTGTCATGGAATTAAAAGGAAATTAGATCTTTTATCTCGTGACTGCGACACTAAATCACACAAACCATCCTGCTTGGCTTTTTATCACTGTCTTCCTCACTGGGCTCCCTCACAACCACCACACACTACTTACTGTAAGTGAAGCTTCACATTGGAATATTGCGTGCGTGTTTACTTAATAAGACTATTTTGTGTTTTGGGGCAGATCTAAATTTTAAGTCTCTGAGGGCAAGTCACTTGAAACCACTTGAAACCTCATGAATTTGCAGCACATACGGTTCAAAATCGAAGCCATACACGGTAAGACGGTTAAAAATAAAAACTGACTCAAAAAAGCAGCAGTATGATTCATCGGGTATTACCCATAATCCCCACATGTCAACTGGCTGGCTTGTGAAGAAACTACTTCATTACGCAGGTTGGATTTGCCAATCAAAAAATCTACAATTGTCACCGGCCTGTGGGTGCAAACAGAATCTACTTAATTCCTCAAGCAGATAGGATCTGTCATTTCCATGCTGAAGAAAATGGATGGAGAGAGGAAGGATGGAGTGAGAGGGCAAGAGGAAGGGTTTAAGGAGGGAAAGGGAGAAGCAAAGGAGAGTGGAGAAAAAAAGGTAAATAGTGGGAGCCTGGGTGAGAGAGAGTAAAAGGAAACCGTAAGAGAATTTGTAGAATTGGGAGGAGGTGATAAGAGCGTTGAAACTGTCAGTACAGGATTGAAATTATTTGAAAGTTTGTGCCTGAAACCTGGATGGCTTGATTGAAAAAAACAAAAAACAAACGCAGAGCCTACACCCAACCACGACCATATATTCTTCTCATTTCATCCTTCCATTTGAATTTCAAGACTTATTTCATGACAGTTTAATAAAACTTTCTCCTCTCGTCTCCCTTCAGCCCCTGTCATTTTCCTCATCTCCGACACGTACCTTCACTTTGTGTCTTCCTCTCTCTCTCTTCATTCATTTGGTTTGTCTTTAACTCCTTGCTTGTCCTCTACCAGTGGTACCCGGAGGTTCGCCACCACTGCCCCTCCACGCCCATCATCCTGGTGGGCACCAAGCTGGATCTGAGGGACGAGAAGGAGACCATTGAGAAGCTGAAGGAAAAAAAGCTTGCACCAATCACCTATCCTCAGGGCCTGGCTCTGGCAAAGGAGATAGGTCAGTGACACTCATGGGTGACTGACTCTCAGGTCTTGTATGACAGTGGACTGTAGCCTCACTGGCTGGGGGAGGCTTGAAACAAAGTGGTGCTTAATTGCTGAGCAAGTGATAATCAACCACTCTGTGTGTATAGATGAATGATGTCGTTTCACACACTGGGTTTGCCTTTTGATGTTGGTTGAGTTGTTATTGACTTTCAGATCATGGTCATCAATCGTCCTCTCTGACGGACGAAAGTGGCCTATGTGGTGTTACTCAGTCATTTAACACAAGTGATGAATTTGTCACGATATTGAATTTGAGGAAAAAAAACAAACTTTCACCCTTCGATCAGCTTCCTTGGATGAATAAATCTGACCTGCAGTTAGTTTTGTCGGTAACAATGGCATCTTGTTTACTTCAGCCTACTTCCCCGACTTAGCCTTTGTTTCTACGTGTCGGTTTATCGATGTGCGTTATTCCGTGTCTTTAGACGCAGTGAAGTACCTGGAGTGCTCGGCTTTGACCCAGCGTGGTCTGAAGACTGTGTTTGATGAGGCCATCCGCGCCGTGCTCTGCCCCCAGCCCACCAAGGTCAAGAAGAAGCCCTGCTCACTGCTGTAGATGGTAAGTCTGAAATAAACAGAGGGAGGGAGGAGAAGAGAAAAAAGGAAACAATGAGAAGTTGTAGTGAACAAGAGAGGGAGAACAGTAGTCACAGTGATTTATTTATTCTTGGATCTTAAATTTGAACTCACCCTACACAACTTCTTGATCACATACTGTGCAGCGAGACTGGACTCGTCACTAATGGTTGATTCAAAAGCTTCTTCGTTATTGAACATGGAGTTTCATGCGCTGGAGAAACAGAATAAAGGTGAAAGAAAAAAAAAACAATCACATTAATAGATAAGACAAATTAGACATGACAGATAGAATAAGAAACACAAGGAGTGAGCTCTGATATCACACTGAAAATAAAGGCTGATTCTTGCAAAGTGACGTCACTAATGTCACATTTTATATGTGAAATATAACACAGCACTTGGGTAATTACTATCACAAGACTCTTCAGGGAAGATTTCCTTTTTTCCAGAAAGGAGGAGGACAGACACATCATGCAGTGAGCTGGAAACTACAGCAACAATTTGACAGACAACAATCCAAGCTTTTTCTCCACAAGAGACACATTAGCTATTGAAAAACCCAAAGATGCAGGAATGTGAAAAAAGATCTTTTTTTTAAAATTACCATAATAGATGCAGAACTGCATCCTGCTGGCATTTCAATATGTCATAGTACAGAGAGTATTTAAAGACGTGACAAAGAAATGATTTTTACAAAATTGCACGTGCGATAATGACTCACGTCTTTGCTGAGAGGAAGAAATGTTTTTGTTCTTATTGCTGAAGCAGAAATGAACTTTGTCAGACATCACAACTTCACTGCAAAAAATCTCATACATCACCATCATCATGTATGTGGTCTCCATCATTTTAGGTTCCTCCAGGACCAGAGAGAAGCCACAAAGAGATTCAGACTGCTGAATCCAGCTCATGAGAAGAACATTTGAAAATAATGTTGTAATGTTTCTAAGAGAAAAATACAACTAGATTTCCACTAGTTTGAAAAAAATAATAATGCTTTTGCTGTTATAATAAAACGGTACAATACTTTCTGTACAGCATATTCTGAGACTGAATTTTAAAGTGCATTACATACACAGCACCAGTTAGGATTTCTCTGTTAATTATTCAACTATACCAGAATAAATCACTAAATGTGGAAGCAACACACTGTCCCACAGACTGTCACACACTTTACTGGACTGTAGATTCACCCAGCCAGCTTTAACCAGTGTACCAAAATTCCTGCACATATGTCACTGCCCTTTTTGGGGCCACTAGTATAAGGCACACAAGGAGTCTTGTGCAGTTTCTAATCATGATAATACTTGTTACTTATTGAAAACATGGTGTTACAATGAGATTAGTTGAAAATGTGCTACCACTGTTGTTTTGAGAGTGAAGAACAATGATTACGAATAAGGATCAGTAATGTAGTTTTGTACGAGTAGGGAACTGAACAATGTTGTATTTCAGTAAAATCTATTCATAAATGTATTCTTTGTTGTGATATTAAAATAAAAGATCTTTAATCAAGTAAAATATCTGCGGAGGAAAATGTTATGTCTTCAGAGTCGACTGTCAACTGTTTCTACTCTAGTGAAAACATGTTTTTCCAGTTACTGCACAGTCTTTACAGCTTCCAGAAAGCAGCGTCAGACATGCATCATCACCTGCATGATCCCAGCAGTGAAATGAATGAGCAGAGGGTGGAGGGTCTGGGTAAGGTAACACTGATGTATCTGACTGCATTTCTACCATCTGTTCCAAACTTCATCTATCTGAGTTTGCTTTTCTTGAGGGCAAGACACCGGGACAGTGATATTAATCTTATCTGTTTAAAATGATTAACAGTTGCTTAACTGATGAAGCATTTCTGGTATAAACACATTCACTCATTACTTGTTCAAGTGTGTGTGTGTGTGTGTGCGTGCGTGCGTGTGTGCGTGGTCTCCGAGAGCGAATTAAAAACAAAGGGGATGTCTATTATAGAAGCTAATATCAAAAAGGTAAAAGAATAAACCATAACAGCTACACAAAAGACTCATAAAATTAAATACACTCTATGGGGTCAAGTATCTGTACAACAACTAATCCATTGTCTCACTGCTCATGACAGAGCAACAGAGTTTAGCAACATACGACCATACATGACATTTTATATTGGTAATGAAATGATAAGACAACACTGGGAATCAAAGGGCGCATTATCAGCTAGTTGACATTGGTTACAAACTAGCTAAAATTAGTTAGCTAAACTGTAAATTACAGTTAAAGGTGAAGTAAAACAACTGCAAGGCTGATGGGCTAGACCTGTTTTTCAAAAGACTTAAAAGGGGGAGTCCAAGTCAGTTTAAACAGCACACAAACTCTCAACCACCTTCCACTCATACCCCTAATGATGACAATGATACACCCTCTCCCTGTACCAATTCACGAGTCATATCAGGACTAAACACCTTCACTTTACCTGAAACCTGCGCAATTAAAAAGAATTTGATGAAAAGTAAGAAGTTTTTATTTGCCTATTCCATCATCTACGCTGTCCAGTCAGCCAATCAGAAGAGAGGCTCGGAGGCCAACACAAGACGCCCTGTACTTGCCAGAGCTCCAGACAGAGGTGTGAGAAATATGTAAAACTATATTGAGATGGTTATTGGTACTTTAAACCACAGATATGTAAATCTTCTTCCTTCACTGTATCCCAGCATGCACTGGAAGGAAAGCGGGAAAATGGTTTAACACACAACAACAACACACAATCACACACACATTCAAACCTGTGGACAATTTAGAGTACTCAATGAATGAAATGTGCATGTGTTTGTACTAGCAATCAGAG